TTTTTGTAGAGCATTAAATTTCCTACAAAATTCTTCCACAAACTTTTTCCGGAAAATCAATTAATGATGAGGTATGAATTTTATTCTATTGGACTGAGAAAAAAATAAAAAACTGCGATGCGGAGGATCTTCCTATTAAAATTAAGAGCTCATATTTGGTGAGAATTTTTTTAAGGTGTCTAGCAACCCATTTTTCCGTGGCACTTATAAAAAAAAAAATAATTGATTTTTTTGACCCACCCTAATATATATATCTTTAAAACACGTTCGCGTAGTCAGATTTATTGTCAATAAGAGGAAGAATGGTCTTCATTCGATGTCATTCACAAAGATCGAAACTTTGTCCTGTTTTCTGAGAGTATAATAATAAAACGACATCATTTATCTGCCCGGCAAGCGTTTCCTCCCATTGGACACGTTCTCAATTACAATCGTGCATATGAAAGGAATTGGAGACTAATCAAGGAATGAGAATGATTAAGGCAACAATTATTGAACAAACTAATGACACAGACACACAGACACAGACATAAGAAAAAAAACCTTTGGTCGATACTAATCACTCTGTGAAAGAAAAGGCTTTACTTTGAGAAGCGCTATGCGTTTAATGTCTTCCTATTCTGTTCCTACTACCGTCGAACGAAACAGAGCATAACATCGCCACAAACAGAACGACTGGACACACTTTGTTGGCAAGCGATTTAGAAAAGCGCGAAAATATAAATCTTTCGAGACTTCCGTTATCGAAAAAGAAATTTCTAAAACAATGGGCTGAGAGAGACTCGGAATTCCTTATTTCTACGTGTCGTGATCTTCAAGCTTATTTAGATCGGCCATTTAATTTTATCTAAACTTGATCTAAGAAAATCGTTAAGAAAAAAATGGCCTATTCTGCTAGATCTTTTGAAAAAAAATCTTTTTTACCCACCAGGATATTCTCGTATAGCTACGTAAACGATCATAGCAGCATCATAAGTGTTGACAAAATCCCAGACTCCATCGGTAGCAATGATAATAAAATCCTCGGTACCGTCTAAAGAAATGCAACGTGTATCAGGAACACTCGTTACGTAAGGTTTGTATTGTACATCTCCTAAAAAAAAAAATATATTTTTAAATTAGTAAAAATCTTGATTGAATATGTCTTGCCTATATTTCTCAAGTATTACCGATCAGTTTCTAAAATAACTTTAATCATTTATTAAATGATTAAAAAGATAGTTAATTATTACGAATAAATTAAAATAACAGTCAATCATTTACAATAATCTTATTATTAGTCGTAGTCTCTACAAGCTGTGAAAACGTATCGCTATAGTACAGAGTAGAAACTATCTATGTATGCTCGTGTTCGACCTGTTCTTAATTAAATGTAATTATCTATTTAATGAATAGCTTGGCTAATTTAAATAACGACGCCACTCTTGAGAATGCTTCCGGTTATTATAAATTTATATTGCTCCTTCTCTACTAAGCAGAGATTAAAATAGGTACCCCGTAAAAAAATCTCTACCAATAAATAACGATTCTACACAACACGTCGATTCGATTGTCATCTTTACTACGTCATTTAAATGAAATTTTATAGAAAATAAGAAGAAAGTTTTTATTCAATATCGAGGATAACACCTGTGATTTAAATCGACGTTTAATTTACTCTCGTCATAAAGTATACTTTGCTATATCACAGAAATAGTATAATAGACTGTTAATTATTCCAAACATATAATTCTGCATGCCACCCAGTAAAGTAGTTGCACGTAGTATTGTGTCAGCGGTTGAACGGAACCAACAACAGGATACCTGACACGCGTCCAGAATTTTTTTTTCTTCTTATTTTCCATTATCATCCAAGCCATAGTTGGCCAACGACCGACACTTCGTTCAACTCGACCCTACTTGACTTCCTCCTAAGTATATATACATATTATAAATATATAAATTAATAAATTTTTGTATAAATAAATCTATAAAAATTTATTTACGTTAAAATAAAACTATAGTTGTAGATTATGTTATCTTCGAACATTAGAAATAATAATATCAAAATTTAATCCACTAATGATGGATTAACACTTGCTTTTCATAATTAACATGTTTATGACATTCGCAAACACTAAAATAACGTTTCATTCGTTTCATCAGATATTTATTGCGTAAAATATTAAAGTATTGTATATAACAAACTGCAATTAATTAGTCTATTCAATTAATAGAGAAATAAAAATTTATAATTATTTGTGGTATGTCAATCGTAGATTTCTTCTTTATCGATGAAATTACATAATTATTCTTAATTTCGGTTGGTAAAAACGATAATCGTCGTAATACGAAAATTTTTATTATCGACCGGAAAAGTTACTATCTGTCGGAAAATATAATTAATTTACCGAGACAAAATTTTTTCAAAGAGTACAGAAGAGTACATAGAAGCTTACAAGTTCCGTTTCTTATCTAGCCAGACTCATCTAAGTTACAACCGGGTTCACAAATGGGCGATAGTGGATAAAATACTGTATTCTTTGATAGTATTGTACCGTCATAGGGTTAAGTACCTACTATCGCCCACTGGTGACCCCGATTGTAACTGAGATGAGTCTGGCTAGATAAAATACGGGACTTGTGAGCTTCTATGTACTTCTGTATTCTTTGGAAAAATCAACGAGAATTTGTGACAAGAATAGTGAACACGGTTACTTGGAAACGGAACGTTGTTGGATATTAACAATTTACACAAACGCAATATATAAGCTCGCGTCTACTCGCGAACTTTGTGTAAGTAACTGTGAAACAATTTTAATGACTATTCATTTACATTTAAAAACTAATCATCACGCCTTTGAAACTGCGCAATTTTTTTTACTTTTTTCTAACTAACTTATCCTCATCTTAATAGGTTAGAATTTTTTCAGAGAAAAGAAAAAACGATATGTGATTTGCATGAATGCACAATGAATAACACTCACCAATAGCGCGAGATACGGCCAAAACTCCATTAACTCGCACTGTACCCTGATTGAATGCCAGCATTCCACCCATTTTTTGTATTCTTTCAGATTCATCCTATCGAAAAAAAAAATATTATTTTCAGTTTGTATTTCATCACTTAATAAAACACCCTATAAACATATTTGTTATTTCTTTCATTTCTTTTCAATTGTTGCTATGCATAATTAACTAATTTCAATTATTTATTAAGCTCTCCGCATATATCAAATGTATAAATTTTAATATATTTGCAACGAGTTTATAAAATGGTCTTCAATTAAATTATAGTCTAGAAATTTGTCATGTCAAAAGATTTAGTTTTTATACGCCAAAATGACTACGTTAAGTACACAAGTGGATAGCGACAGAAGATTGTTACAATTCAAAAGCTACGAAGAATATTTAGATTCTTTGGTAACTCCTATAGATTTTTGCTATTTGAGAAGTACAAAAGTTGCGCGACAATTGGCAGAACTTGGTTATCGATGTACAGGAGAAACTCTTGATAAAAATACTTTCTATCTGCGTCTGCAAACTGTTAAAGATTTATTATACCCAATTCTTAAGCCATATCATCTTAATTCTGAATTTATACTTCCTTTTGATCCGCTAATGCAAGAACTAGCAATTCGCGAACGCTCTAATAGACTACACGCACTATCAACTATCATATTTATACGTCATAATCCACGCCTTCAAGTCGAAGTATCAGGCTACATAGATTTCAGTGAAAGACTTAAAACAGAAGATTGGCAGCTATATTTCAAAGGAAAAAAGAAGCTTTGGCCTAAAATTACAGACTTGGCGTACTATCATTGGCAATTAGGAAAAATGCAATTAAATATTACATCTAATTATGAACCAGTAATAGATTCAAAACATGGTCTTTTATTTAAAAATATTCATGATAGAAAATTAATTAATGTCGATCCAAAGGCGATTAGGCCTGGCATAAATACTACGAGAATACGCGTACATAGCGATGCGTATGAACATGTTATTTTATACGATCATGTTGTTAGAAGCACTGTTATTTAATAGAAAGTATTTGTATTATAATCATAAATATTTACTTACATATCGAGATAGTCTATGAGGATATACTAATTCTTCCACTTTGCCACGTTTAGCTAGCATAGCCAAAGAATCTCCTACCCAAGCAATATATAATTTTTTATCTAACAATAACACGCAAACTGCGGTTGTACCTCCAATTACTTTCTGGAAAAAATTAAATAATTTTATTAATGTTACACATACGATATTATGAAACTTTTAGAAAAATCCACTCACTTGAGTTCTCTCTTTTTCTATAAATCTTGTATCGGTAGTGTGAAAAGCGTCGCATAAGGCACGCTCCGGATCTGTAGGATAATATATACTCTCTGCTAAATACTGATGCAAGTGTGTAGCGCAATAGACAGCGGCGTCTTCTCCTCCATGCCCATCAAATACTGCGAAGTAACTTGCTAAGGAGTCATTCTATGATAAAACATGCATCTTTACCATTATGTTAATAGTAATGAGTGAATAAAACATGAAAATATGATTGCGCTTATTCACCTGTACATTACAAGTAGTATGTAAGTCATAAATCTCTACATGCCTATCCTCCATTTTTCTTTTGCCATTCTTCAGTGCGCCGCTTCTTGCCAAAGGTGGCAATTTAGAAGAAGGTGGAGGTAACGTTACTAATCTACTATTGTCTAAGTAGCGAGTAAATATTTCATTTACTTTGCTCGTAACTGCTTGCATAAGTTTCAGTGGAGCATATGCTGTCAAATGATTAAAAAAAAATCAAATTATCCATAGTTTGTTAAAGCGTATAAAATACATACAAATTATAAGTGTATAGAATCACTCACTTTTTGTTTCCAACTTGAACCCGCATTCTTCTGGTTGTTTCTCGCATAAATCCTTTATTTCTTGTAATACAAGGCGAACGAGATATCCTTGTAGACTGCATGGACAACGTCTATAAAATCATAAGAACTACCAATTATTACTCAAAATCGTATATATTGTATAAAATTATAATTGTATAAATATATTTACCTTTCATAAGTTTTTTTGAGATTGTATCAAGAAATTTTCATTTTGAAATTTAATTAAATGTAAAAACAGAAAAAATATTTTTAAAATTCTATCATCTAAATATAAATTCGAATTTGCTCAAGAATAACGTAAAGTGCATTAAAATTATTAATATATCTAGGGAAATATAAAAATAATAATCTAACTAATAATTAATCAGTCGTTCAAATTGAAAAATGCTTTCGTAATCTTGATAATTAGTTATTGAAGTTACCTCTTTCTCTCTTTATCGTACATGCGCGCGCTAAACTTGCAATATTTAAAAGCCTCTTCAGAAAAAGATGATAAAAGATAACATATCATAACATTAGATAGGACAATTTCACGAAGTAATGACAGAGTGTGTACACAGTGAAGATTAAACGTGTAAAGAAGTATAAAAAAAAAGTTAGTCTTAAAAAGAAATTTCTTATCCGTGACGATACGAACGACAACAACCAAAATATCATAGATAATTATGTACAAATTCATTTCGGCGTATCATTAATAGGAAAACGGAATATCGAAAGGAAGATATCATTGGAAAGTCTAGAACAATTATTTGAAAAGGAAAAAAAAGAAAAGAAGACGTAAAGGAAACATATGCAACGGCATTTGAATAAGAATTGAAATTTTTAATAAAAAAGATGGCACCGATCGTTGGAACTTATCAACACGAACGTAATGAAAATATCGACGAATACTTCAAAGACTTGGGTAGGATTTCTATTAAAAATATAAAAACTTGCATTATTTATTGTTATAATATTTTGAAATGTATTTCGAATCCATTATTTTTTAGGCGTACCATATATCGCACGAAAAATGATGGGTTTAGCAAGTCCACGTATGGAAATTTCAAACGAAGGAGAAAAATGGACAATTCGTACTGTATCTATGATGCGTACTATAGAATTAATATTTGTTCTCGGTGAAGAATACGAGGAAACTCTGCCTTCCGGTGAAATATTAAAAGTAATTATCAATATGTTCTCTCTAATTTGAATTTCACGTTCATTTTGCAAATTCATGCATTACGTATATACAAAATACAAGATACTTCTTATATTTCTTTAGAATGTTACGACAATGGACGATGACAGTCTCGTGACAGTATCATACAGACCAGATAACACAAAAATAGTACGGAAATATGATTTTACTAATGATGGTGTCGTCTTGGTAAGTTCTGTCTTCAGATTATATTGTATAATTTCATCAATATTATCTCTATTTTTAACGATTTCATACCAATCTTTTTATATATAAAATAAAAGAGTGACACTATTATTAAATGATGAAAAAACTCACAAGTGATATATAATATATATATATATCTGAATACGCTGCATGTATATAAAAGGTGCAAACAAAAACAAAGGATAAACAAAGCATAGCATATGATAATAAAAGTTAAAGAGCTATGCCATCCGAGAAAATGAAATGAATTTTTGAAAACATTGTTGAATTTTCTAAATATTTATTTCTATAAGAAATGTGTGTAAGTTTTGTTTTCATTACAGATAATGTCTAGCGAAAAAAGCGATGCAGTTGCAAAACGATATTTCAAGCGAGTTCCTTAAATTGAAAATCTTAAATCTTGATGATTTCTTTATTTGATACAAATATCATTTTTATGTATATGTGGTATATATGTATACTCTGTGTATATTTTGACAATATTATCAATGATCAATCCAACGCAAGTTTTAAATAATTCTGTAAACGAATAATAAAATTGAAAAATAAATATTATAATTAAAATCATCTGCTGTGCTATTGTGATGTTGTTTTTTATCGTGTCATATGTCACATGACATGTGGTAAAACGATAAAAAAAAAACAGAATTCTATGACGTCATACACAAAATATTCTGATCTTGATATATTTTAAAATGCTTACTAAGACTAACATTTTTAAGCTATTACAACAATGATTCAAATCTATCAAAATTTAGCTTTATTTCTCTAGAATTAACAGAGAACTATTGGCAAATTGCAAGGGAAGTATTCCAAATAGAATGATGACTGTCTCTACGGCTATGAAGTTATTCTTTATATAAATAGAGAAGATCGGATGGAGAAAAATTGTTAAATTTTCGCGCTAAGAGATTATTTTAAATATTCTACTTCTATGTATACATTTATTCCTCTCCTCTTCCTTCCTTCTCTTACTCTACTCTCACTCTTACTCTCACTCTCACTCTCACTCTCACTCTCACTCAGTCATTCACCCTCTCTTTTTCTCTCTTTTTTTCTCTTGTCATTAAAACCCACGTTCAAAGATTAATGCGAAAGAACGAACACTCCCGCGATAACGTGCGTCGCCGAGATTAATTCGCGCCAATTGGCGAATTGCGATTTGAATTTTAACAAATGGCGGGAAAATGAAATACCAACTTTTTAGGATAAAGTATAAAGAAATGCGAATTTGTTATCCTAATAGAAAGATTAAAGGCAAAAAAAAGTGAAAAAGAGAAAAAAGATGAGAAAGATAATGAGATAATGTACTTACGGTTGTTTAATGTACTGCAGCGTCAAGTAGATGATCTCCCCGACGAGTTCCGTTTGCGTAATACTGTATGCATTAACCTTCATAGGCAGTTGATCCTCCGGATTGATTTTTCGAATGAACTCTTCGAAGTATCGTCTATATTCTCCGAGATAGTCAACTAAATCTGTAGCACTTTTCGCAGCCATTTTTTTTATTTGTATTTATCTTTTTGTCAATATGAAAATTAGGCGCGCGCGGTCGCGTGCGCACGTACCCTTAGAACGACGCGGCGGCGGCGAGAAGGAAGGACGACGATTACACCCAAGGAATCAAACAAAAAGAAACTTGTATCTTGACAAAGAAGAAGAATAAAAAAAAACACGAATGATTCACCTCAATGATCTATCTTCGTAGTACACAAGCTCGGTTACGAGCACGTATCGTTACGCTATCAACGCGTGACGTCTCTTACTAATGCAAGCGAGCGAAATAATGAGAGGACGCGGGATAGAGAATGACACAGAGTGTGGCAGAAGGAACGAGAGTGGGGATGGACTGAAACAGAAAGAGAGAGAGAGAGGAATGTAAAGGAAGATTACGTCGTCAAAGAACGAAAAGTCGTCTACGAGTGTCAACAACAATTCATTTCTCCAAATCGCTTTCTTCGAGATGCACGCGTAATGTTTTGTGTACAGATTGCGTCATTCATTCAATATGGCGAGCACACATCACTCGGTCACCCCATGCGGTCTATCGTTCTATCCAACGATGATTGCGTTTTGACCAGTTTTCCATGCAACGTGCAAGAAAGTGTGAGAACAAGGATCTCCAAATATCCTCTTTTACGATGATGATACAATCAATTGAAATTGTTGAAAGAGAAAGCACCGCCGCTGCTCGCATTATGCGTTGTTCGTGCTTTCCACCGGGGGTCGTCGTGGTCGTCTTTTTACGATTGCTTGCATTCTCTCTCTCTCTCTCTCTTTCTCTTTCTAACTTGATAATTTGGTCCTATTATTTGGTGTAACCGAATGAGAAAAATCCCTTGACGCGCATGACTGACACAACTCCGCGCACGCCCACGTGCTCACACGAGTTTGCAACTCCGCGTACGACTATCTATTATTCTTTTATTTCCCTCTCCTTTACGTTGTTCCTTTTAATTCCTCCCTTTCCTTCTTCTTTCAACTACATATATTAACGTCTAAAACGATATACTTTACATTTGTCCTTCGTATTCTATATCAAAGTAATTAATTTTAACACAAATTTCACTTGCAATAAAAAATTATTAACAACTTGTAAATGTATGACAACAAAAAAGAAAACATTACATTATAACGCAGTATTTATTTAACGACTCTATTTTTTCTTGTATTTCTTTGTTCTTCATCTTTTCTAAATAAGAATCTTTAAATTTTTCTTCCATCCACTCGGGTAAAGGAGAATTCCAATCCTCCGGTGGTTTATTTCTTCTTTCCCAAACCTTATTTCCTATGTGTCCTTTTAATCTATTCATTCTATGCTCATTTTCGCTTGTTATTAGGGCTTCCTAAAATTAAATAAATTTCTATAGATTTTAATATGCTATTAAATTGAATTAGTAAATAACGCGAATATTTAAACTTTAAAAAGGACAAGTCATGTTATCAAATTATTCGTATACGTATGCTTCCTTCGATTGATTTTCTTCCCATATTTTGCAATAGTGAAAATCCTTTTGCCACGAAGAACAATCAATCTTATGACCATGTATGAAATATTGATGAAAACGAGATCTCAAATGTTTGCATTCTTTGTACTCATCTAAGTATATTTCGCAAGGTCTTATCTGAAAAATGAAAATAATTAAAACCAATGAAAAATCAATATAATTTACTCGAATTGAAAACATATTATATAACTTTAGTGCATCTACAAAAAATTTTTATTATACAACTTAAAAAAACTCATTTACCATCCAAGAATCCTTGAAATGATTTTCTTCTTTTGCTATTACTTTAGCCATTTCTAATCTAATAATAAATATGAAACTATTATTATAGCTTTTATTAGTAATCGCACAAACATTCTTTGATAAGGTTAATTTTTCTATTCATAGGTCATGCACCGATCCACACAAATAAATGCTCTATTAATCAAAATTTCTTGAAAACTTTCATAATTAGGCATTAGCATTTATAATTTCTTTTATAAATATTTACGAAACAGAATTATTTAGGTTACAGTACGTTTAACACGTGACTTATATAGATAAATAAATATACAAACGATGTCTATAGTATACTGACGCTGACGGAGCTAGAAACAAGAGAATGAACGATATAGGCAATTTGTAATAATATCCGTCTCCTAAAAACGTAAGCAATAATTAATACTTATTTCTGCCTCTAGGGCGGCATGACGATCAATGTGATCATAGAGACCCTGTAGGAGGGACGCGCCATACATATTGCTCATCTGCCATTGGCTGAAAATTTTAGGGACCGCTTCCGATCCAACGCGCAGCCGCTTCATTCGCACCATCAATAGAATAACTTCTGCTAACGTTATATTACGCCTTCCTGATGATGGCGTATATATGACCTTTTTTTTTTTTTTTATTAGTCAACAAATTTTGGAAAGGTGCACCCCCACCCTTACCGCCACCACCACCACGATCTTCCAGCGGACGACTGTTTTTATCGTTTTCATGATAGGGTTTGGGAACTTGATGACTACAAAAAAAAAAAAAACTTGAAGACTTTCTACCTAAAGTCTCTGGGATCACTGGGTTCTACACAACGCTGGTAACTACTTTGGAGAACAGTAACAGATACAAACATGTAACTCTTTTTTAACGGTTGTGAATAAATAGTTGCCACTATTTAAGTTCTAACCTACGCATATTGTTTCAGGTATTACATTATCTTTTAATCAAAGTATTTTGAAAAGAAATGTACTGGGAAACGTAAAGAATAATTCTAATTTGTCAAATGTACTTCCTTCTACTAATGCAACTATTATTCCAGGTAAATAGTAGTTTTATTTTTAGTACGTTTCAATTACAATTACAATTTATTTACAAATTATTTCAATTGTTCGTAGCTCAAGAAGAAATTATGTCCAAACAAGATGCAAAAAGCATATCAACAACAAAAATATCAGAAAATGTTTCCACTGCTAGTCCAGTAATTGAAAATAATTCAGCTTGCTATGTGGAATCCAATCCGTCACCATTAACTCCAGCAAATGATGTTACAAGTATGATAATAAATTACAGTTACAAAACATTTTTAATTTTTAATAAACGAAAAAATAAAAATAAACGTTCATCTTTTTAGATACCTTATTGTTAAATGTAACACTCGAAGAGCATGCCATAATAAAACAACCATGTAAGTCACTAATTTTAGCTACAATAGTAAAGTTATTTTAGAAATGTAATATGTAAATATAACAGTATAAATTAGTATTTAGAAGTGTAATATTGTCTAATATAGTATTTTTTACATTAATTTTGCAGGTAACACTAATGAAAAATTGTTACACGCTTCATCTGAAAGTATTGAAGATACAAGTAATGGACTCATGTTTAAAGAAATTGACAGTATTTGTGATCAAATTAATTCGAGTGAAGGTCGAGATCACAAGAGTTGGGTTAATACAATTAAAAAATTAAAAATTTTGTTGAGTAGAAGTCTGAAAACAATTAAGATTTTAAAAACAAAACATACAAAGTCCCGAAATTAATTTAAAAAGCAGATCAAAGATTTACAACAAAAAGTACGTATGAATACCAGCTTACAAATCATTAATAGGTACTCTCTGTTTAGATTGCGAAGTGCATCGCGTAGGTATAATCGCAAAAATGTAAAAAATTTTAAGCAAACAAATCTCAGTTCGAGTAAAACTATGACCATGTACCACATTGAGAAATAAAAATATGTTAAAATAAATCTATTTTTTAATAGTTTTATATATTTGTCTTATTATTATTATTATTATTATTATTATTATTATTATTATTATTATTATTATTATTAATAATAATATAATATATATAGTAAATAATTATATTTATCAAAATTGTATAAATTCCTACAAATTGTTTTGAAATTTCAAAATACTGTAATGCCTTTTATCAAATCAAACTTAATTGAATCTTTCTTTTTGAATTTATAATAATTTTTTTGTGTAACCTATTTTATTTTAATATAAATTTTTTAATTATCATTAAATATGATTCATTTTTTTTCTGTATTTGATGCAATTCATTATTTCATAATTTTTTCAAACCAATTCTCCACTCTACCCCCTACACTATTCACTATTACTATATACAACTTTTATACTATTTAAAATGTTTGATTCATTCGCGCGCAATCACGTGACTATATAAGTTCCTGTCCCCCAAAATTCTTTGGCGCGTCCCTCCTACAGGGTCCCTAGTAATTAGAAAACTACGAATGTATATGAAAAGTGTCCGTCGAAATGCATTCAATTCGGGTAGCACCACAGTTCCTACACGGTAAATTTTAATGGAAGCGCCAAATATTATTAGAGTAGGATTGAGACATAAACAAGGAACACAAATTTTACCCATAACTGTTTTGTTATTCACATACTTTTTCATAAAATTAAATGATAAAAAATCAATAAACGTACTATTCACAGTTTACGAAATAAAATCACTCTAGCTACACGTTTTCTCATAATAATTCTTTAAGGTTATATTTACTACATTATTACATAACTCGACATACTTCAATTCGTTTACAATTGCTACATTCATACCATACCTACTACGTTCACTAGCGCTATTCTGGAAGGTTTTTGAACTATTATTTATAGAAAACGCAGGCAGCGATCCCATTCGTACGATAATTATCGTACGCGTCACATAATTTGAAGCCTTCTACGATCCAAAATTTGGCTTGTGCGATCCAAAATTCAGCTTGGATGTAATTAACAATAATTCAATATGTAAATATCGAAGTTGTTAACGACAACAAGTTGATTTTGTTTTTTGTTTCGCGATTCGGTTGTCGGTTGCAGCGTACTCTAGCGTACACAGTTGGACTATTTTTTGGTGACTAGAGCCAGGTAACAATTGAAAATAGCTCGGAAACCAATAAAAAACCAAAAAAGCCAGGAAAACCTTGAAAAATACAATTAGAAGGATAGAAAATAGGAAAAAGAAAAGGACGAAAAAGGACCTGAGGACCTAAAAAAAAAAAGAAAAAAAAGCAGGTCATTAAGTTTGCAAAAGTTGGTATTTTTACTCTTTTTGCAGATTTAAAAATGTAAAAAATTCTGCAAATGTTTAAATCAGAAGTGTCAAATCCAAAATTCCTAAAATTCCAAATTTTTCCCTGTGCGTACGATAATTTGTCTATGTGTACGATAATTTTACGGCCCTGTGTCGATCAGACAAACTAAAGTCTCTGGGATCACTGAACGCAGGACACTTTTTTACATTTTCTCCCATAAGTGATTTTACTCCTTATCTCTACCCTCCATACATAAGTTTTTAAACAACTATACGTACACAAACTAGTACGTTTATTGATTTTTTATCATTTAATTTTATGAAAAAGTATGTGAATAACAAAACAGTTATGAGTAAAATTTGTGTTGTGAAAAGTTGTCCAAATCAGTGCTGTCAGATCGTGGGTAAATCTTACCCTCTCTCTGTGCCACTGGAATTGTACACAATGAAAGTTTTCCATGTCCGTGTGTTTGGGATGTCGAGGAAAGCCGAGTGTAACCGAAGTTGGCGGTTGGCCACGAAGTGGCACACTATGAAAGCGACTCGTGTCCATGTGTTCGGACGACACGAGTCGCTTTCATAGTGTGCCACTCCGGCGTGCCCGCCAACTTCAGTTACACTCGGCTTTCCTCGACATCCCAAACACACGGACATGGAAAACTTTCATTGTGTGCAATCCCAGTGGCACAGGGAGAGGGTAAGATTTACCCACGATCTGACAGCACTGGTCCAAATGGGCGTAAATCCCTCTACGTACTGTGGTGCCACCCTAATTGAATGCATTTCGACAGACACTTTTCATATACAGAGATGTTACTTCTTACCTCTACCCTCCATAACATACTTAAATATCAAACGATAAATTGAGAAAAGGGGTATCCTAATACATTTTTACTTCATTTTTTGTCCGTATCTCTGAGCTGAAATCACCCATGCTGTAACAAGTACCGTTGAATGACAATTCTTATTTACCTATATTTATATATATTTTAATTATTTTAAATTATTTATGTTAAACAAGTTAACAATTATATGATAATGGAAGAATGGATATACGAAAGTTTATCTGGTTTGCTGGATTTCCCAGTACCAGAAGAATTAATACAGTAAGAATCATTTTATATATTATATTTATAATATATTAGATACGTTTTGTTTTTCTTGTATTGGAACACGTGTTTCAAATGATTTCTTTTTAATTTAGATTTATTATAAAAATAAGAAATGAAAGAGATTTAGATGAATATCTTACAACTCTGTTGGATTTGAAAAATCCTAAACATAAACAATTTATAGCTGAATTGAAAAAAAGACAAGGTTAGTTAATGTAATAATACACATATATTTCATTAAATAATGCAATCATTTTGTTCAATAAAATATAAAAAAAAATGTATGTATTATAGCTTCATGCAATGATCCAGCTGGATATAAAAAAACGAATGACAATAATGATGATTGTAAGAAAAAGCAAAATGACAAGAAAAAAAATAAAACAAAAGGCAAAGAAAATATACAGGTATATACCTACAGTGAACTTTTAAATATTTATCATAATGAAAATAAAATTGAATTATATTTTTTAATGGTTTGAAATATTTATGATTAAAAATTTTTGTTGTATTGTCGTTTTAGGTACAAGAAATGAAAATCGATAAAATAGAAAAAATAGAAAAAAAGAAGCCAAAATTTGTGAATTTGTATTCGCAAGAAGGACGCGATAGAGAAACTGTTTTATTAAAAGGTACGTTTTTTATGGTATATAATTCAATGAATAATGTTTTGCACGTATGCGTAACGATTTTGAATACTTTAGTAATAATATTGAATTTATAAATTGTTGCTATGCGTGCGTCAGGTAGACACAAATGTGACTGTGAAGCAAAAAAGCATTCTCTGATAAATAATTGCAATAATTGCGGTAGAATAGTTTGTTATCAAGAAGGATCTGGTCCATGTTTTTTTTGTGGAACATTGGTATGTTCTCGCGAACAACAAGCTATACTTTCTAGTAATACTAAGCAAGCAGATGATTTATATAATAAATTAATGGATCGAAAACCCAATAAAGGCTTAGAAGAATCTATCAAACAACGCGATAAACTACTGGAATATGATCGCAATAGGTATATTTAACTGCAATGTTTATCAGACCATAAATAATATAAAAAAAAACATCTTTTTATATTATGTATAGATTGATATAGTTAAATATTATGTTACAGTGCACGACGTACAAAAGTAATTGACGATGAATCGGATTATTTTCAAACAAATAGTACATGGCTTACATCCGCAGAACGAGAAAAATTTCGAAAGCGCGAAGAAGAAATAAGTGCTCAAAAACATGCATCTCGTTTGAGTAGAAAAGTAACTTTAGATTTTATTGGTAGAGAAGTATTCGTAGGTCAAGAGGAGAATAATGAATTAGACGATCTATATGAATTGACGTTAGATACTGAGTCAATAAATAGCAATATTTCTCCAAATATAAATTTCGACAGCCTAACGGTAAATACACAGTTAAATTATTTATCATATTATTTGACAAAATAATCAGAGATATTTTGAAAGTTTCTTGTCCTTTATGTAGTATATTAAACAAGAAACGATGCGATCTGTTAAACAAACATCAAACATTATTGCAAAAAGTAAAATTCAAGATAAAGAATATTTAGAACTAACGGATCAAGGCTTATGTTTAAGTATGCATCAGCCGTATGCTTCGCTACTGGTTGCAGGAATAAAACTGTGAGCATAGTTTAAAAATATATAATTCCATTATAAAATCATAATAATGTTATTATGATTTTTATTAATTAATTAATTAGTCACGAAGGTCGAACTTGGTATTCTTCTCATAGAGGAAGATTATGGATAGCGTCGACTGCTAAAACACCTACTGCAGGAGATATTTCAGAAATAGAACATTTCTATCGTATTTTAAAAAATGGTAAGTAATAAATTATTTAGAAAAATTTCTATTCAATATTATTTATTTTATATTTTTTTTAGAGAAAATTAAATTTCCGGAAAACTATTCTACTAGTACTTTATTGGGCTGTGTAACAATTGTTGATGTTTTGTCTCAAGAACAATACAGAGAAATGTATCCCGAAGGAGAAAGTGAAAGCCCTTATGTTTTTATATGCGAAAATTCGTATACTCTTCCTATTAAATTCCCTATACAAGGAAAACATAAGATTTGTAAGTAATTTATTATTTCCTAACAGTTGAAATAAAGATCAACTATTTTATCGTGAATTCATAATTACAGATAAATTAGATAACAAAATTCATCAAGCTGCTATGAAATCTTTAGACAAAGTTATTAAGGAGAAAAAAGAATAATTCATTACATTATCTAATTAAAAAGTGCTTGTACATTTGCATGTTTATAAATATAATTTAACGCAGATATAATAATCTTACATAGTACGTAATCTCATTTTATAAAAGTAACAGAGAATTCTATTCAATGAATTCGTTTTCACAATAAAGTAACATTTTAAATAGTATTTAAATATTATATATATATGTATAAAAGAAACAATCATCAAAATATACTTCTTGCAATGTATACAAAACGTAATTTATTATTTGTTTACAATGTGGATAACATTATTAAAAAATTAATTGCATGTTATGTAAGCACAATTATTGTAATGTAATCATCATCATTACATTTATTTATTGTATATTTAATATTATATTTTTTGTGCTATACTTATCTCCCTACCTAAATACATCATTAATGAAAAAATATTATCAGTCCTCTCAGATATTAGAATAGTCGATCGATATATTAAATATACATTTATATTTTTCTAATTTCTGAAATGTAGACAGAAGCAATTTTAAGAAAAATGTGTTTCATGCGAATACGTGGCAATATTCTAATAAAACTCATGACTATCCTTTTCAAAGTCTCATCAGTTTTGTTTTTTTAAACATATATCAAACCTTAATTGTGTCTATATTTATGTTATTTGTCAATTACTAAATCTAAAAAATTTCCAAAACTTTGTATCTTATTAAGCACCTGTACTATGCAAATTAAAATAAAAATTAAAATATACATATTTTCCTAAATATAAAGTCTTATTTCTCTAATAAAATAACATTTAATTGTAAGCAATATTTTCACGAACCTCTCTAAGCTAAAAAATTAACAAAATGATTACTACAAGATAAAATGTTCTTTTCCTCTGTTTGTTCATTTCAATGATATTTTACAAATAAATTTATGGTAGACATGAATATTTTTAAATCCTAAAAGTCACATATAATCGTCTTTAAAGAAAACAACAAATATAATTTTTAATAAGTCAACATAAATATGCATATAAATAAATAGAATTAAGTTCAAATAAATTAGGTAACTGAGGAATGTTTGAATATGCATTATAACGTAATATATGTTATTTTATTATACATTATTTAAGCTTGAAATTTTGTAAGTAAGTATTTTCAAGCAAAACAACAAATTGTTAAAAGAAATTCTTTTCTACTTTATTATATTGCGACAATATTAAATAAATTAAACAACTTATATATAAAAACATCATTGCAACATTAAACCAAATATTATATCAAGGACAAAATAAATTATTAAAGAAAATTATAGGTATGCAGTATCCAAGTCTCTAATATTTTATAATTTTTCATTGTTGGTTTCTTGTTTTTTCATCTTATCATACTATAAAATATATTCTTCAAAAATTTCTGCTTCAAAATAATAATTGAAAAATCTTAAATATTTCTTGTACTAGGCCTTGTTTAACCACTCAATATATTTTTCAAATTTTTAATTCAAATTTTGAATTGTTGAAAGTACTATCTAATAATTTGATAATTGTAATATGATAGGCTTGTTTTTGAGGGTTTCTTAAATAGTTTCTACCATTAAACAATGTTATTTAACAGATTTATTATATTTTTATCTTAGAGATAATAATATAAATAAATAATATATCTTAACGATTTTCAATACCGTATCATTTTTTTGAGTAAAAAATTAATGTATTAAATAATTGTTTCCAACAGTATATAAACTATTTTTTAATAAGTTTTCCTGTTATGTTTTTAATCGTAATGTTATTTTAATAAAATAATCAGATATTTATCTATTTGGCATTCTTTAAGATAACAGTGGTTACATTTTTAGATTCTTGTATAATCAAGGCAATTCATCTTCAATAGTCTTCATCGCTACGTAACAAGGAGTTTTACTCCAATTATTGTGCAATAAATTATTTGATAGGTTATTACGTGATGTTATATGGCATGTATGAAAAATAACTACATTCCATAATTATTAATAATACTACCAAGTTATACACATTAACTAATAGAAGCTTCAAATGAATTAATGTAAGTATATAAAGAAATTACTATTTAATATTAATATTTTTATATAAGATACTATATGATACCTTTTATTAAATAAATAAAACAGAGTAATATGATAAATATGCTCTTTCAAAATTTAATATGAAATTAATTTTTGCATAATTTTGTGTAATATTATAGTTCATTTATATTTTCCATTTGTATCAATCATATTAGATATTTCATAGGCCACTGCATCAGTATAATACTAATATATTGATATCACAAGCCTATTTGCACATGAAACATTAAGGTAAATAACTTCATATTTGTCCTACTTCTCAAACTTAATTATTTAAGTGTAATATATACAAGGTTTTTCAAAATATATCGTTTGTACGAAAAAACCTCTAACACCCCGTGTGGTATATATATATTAATAGCGCATATATTAATGCACTCTTTGACTTTTATATAACAATACTTTCTAAAGGTCCTTACATTGTAACTGGACTCTACGCATACGCCTTAAAACATATTTGTTTTAATTTAAATATAACTTAATCAATTCTTTTTTTGCAAGGACAATATAAACTTTTTTTCATGCGAAAATCATATTGAGAAATAAAACGTTACCTTTTTACAAAGAGAGAATATTTTTATATATAAGTTGGAGAATCTTTCAAACTTTCACCGCAAACATCACAGACGGAAACATTTTTCTCGTTTACTAATGTACACTTTGGGCATTCCTTACCGCCGCTTGCCAACGGTTTATCTTCGTTTCCTTTAAATTTTGATTTCATACACATTTCACAAATTTCTTTTTCGGGTGAATTTAAGAATGTGCAAGTAGCACAATTCCATTTATTTTGATCTTTACTATTAGATTCCTTTTTGGATTCTGACAATTCCAAATGATTTATTGAATTAGCAATCCTTGAAATTTGTTCAGACGAATGATGCGATCGTTGCATCGGTACGATCTGACTATCGTGTTTTTTCACTGTACCATATAAATACGATGGATTCTCTGTGGTAACATCGATGTGATATCTATTTGAATCGGATAAATCAAAAGAAGAGGATTTCTTTTTAATCGATAATGTATCTTGATGGTGCTTTCGTCCATTAGTAATGTGATTATTAATATCCTTTGCATCTCCTCTTCCAGTCTTCTTTTTCTCCAATCGATAAATATTATACTTTTCTTCGTTTTCAGAAGACCTTAATGGCTTTTGTTTAGAAAATCGTAAATCTGTCTCTGTTTTGTTTAAAATATCTTCTCTATCACCAAGATCCTTCGAATATCCCTGACTTTCTAAATTTTTATAAACAAAGTCCCAATTTTCGTGTGTGTTTTTCTCTATGTTCGAATATGGTTTTATACATTTTTTATCAACTTTAGCATAATCGTAATCCGAATCGATAGGTTGTCTTTTATGAAAATCCAATTCGTCCATATCAAAAGTTCTTTGCGATGGTTTTTTACATGTTTTATCATAATTCACGACTGGAAGTGGCATATTAAGTTCTACTAGCCTATCCGCTGGTATTTTTGTTGCATATGCTGGTACTGTAGGATAATAGGAAGTATTATGAATACTACTACACTTATTTCCTACTGGCATACATCCGTATGTACCATAACGATTTACCATCCCATGATCCATTAAATTAAAATAATGGTAATTTTTAGGTGTCATATTTGTATCATTAATGCATCTATAATCTGAAGGATATGGTGGTATACTGTAAGTGTTGGATGGCATATGATAATTAATAGCTGGTGGTATAGCATTCACGGTTGCAAGTTGCGGATAATGATAGTTTCTATATGCATCAATTTTTATACGACTTTGGTGCATTTTTTCAAGAAAACATTGATTCAAAGCTCTGATAGCTTGTTCAGGAGTTCCAACGTGATTCTCACGAAATTCTAAAACTTCGAGCCAAGAAACGGTATAATTTTTCGAGACACATTCCCATATCTGTTTTAAGATCTGCAAGTAAGTTTGAATTTCTAAATAGCAATTATAATTACGAGTTGACATAATGTGACAATAATAAATACATACATCTCATATGTGTGTGTGTTATACAGTGATATTATAAAAATAATACCTGACATTCTACAAAAGCCACTATCGCATCTCTACTAACGTTAGTCACTTTGTCTGGATCTATCGGACCTTCTAAAACGAGCACTTCCCTGGCTGCATGCTTATATCCCATTTGTTCAAACATCAATTCTCCTCCTATTAAATTAGCTTGTACTTCATGTTTGTAGAATCCACTATAGGTCTAAAAATTGAAATAAATTTATTTAACAAGAAGAAAATACAAGAACGCTATAAAAAAAAAAAAGAAAAAATGATATACTGACCCTTAACGTTCTGTACTCTTTCCTCCAAGGTTGTGCAACGAGATTTGCAGCGTATAAAGAAATTGCACTCCAAGCAGTGGCAGCTCTATAACCACTAAAATCTTGCAATGTAGCAGCAGATCTGCGTAAAATATCAGCCGTTTCATGAAACATGTATTTATTTTCATTAGGAACAAGGTAGAGGTATTCCTTGATAAATCCTGAAATCATAATGAAAATATCTATGATTAAAAAAATTAAAAGAACGCATTTTCTGTCATTGTACAATATGATCTGAAATATAAGATTTGTTTGATTACATTTATACCTTCTAGCTTACGACGTTGGTCTAATTTTAATGGACTATCATCGGTTTGTAGGTAAGCCAGATGACTTTGTTCTAACTTCATACTAATTTCTTGGAGTTTGTCTTTGCCCCGAAGAATTAAGTCATTTGCCATTTTTGTTCCTAAAATGATAAATAAATGTATTATAATGCATTTCGTTGCTAACTATAATTTTATTTACTTGTACCACAAGACAAATTATCTAATGGTATTTTTTTCTTAAATCGAATCTAATCGACTATAAACATAAATATAAATATTTATGAAAATGTATGATGTATAATTCTACAATTTTTATTTCTTTTTTCAACGTAAAATCTTGTAAAATTATATCAAGTTTAATTATCAAATATATGGTATTTCTATAAAAAAACACGACTAATTAACAAAAGATAAAATAAATTGTTTATATGGAGGTATAGCATAATCGTATTTGTAACAAACCTCCTAGAAATTCAACGTTGAAACAGATTCTTGATACGAATTATGGCTAGCTCCAACCTAAAAATAAATCCTATATATAGAAGAGGTGCCACGGGATTTTCTAGGTGAGCTATCATTATATCTTTTGTCATTTGCAGGATGGTTCATTTCAAACGAATTGATTCATCAAATTATCTGAACTAAATGACATTTTATATCACTTAAAAAATAGCAGTAAATATTTTCCTGTCTAACTTTTTTTGGTTATGTTATGTACGTCAGATCCATAAACCAATCGTATCCTCTATAGAGATACAAGTTCGTTGAAAATTGTTGAATTTGTCCAATCTTATTTTTAACCCTTTCGTTACGAGCGCCGGAATTAGACGGCCTCCACTCGACGACCTGTGTGTACGAGCGCCGGATCTAGGCGGCCTCCCTCTACTCGATGACTCGCCTTTACGACCTGACACTGTACAAAAGTGTTCGTCGCACCGAATATGTTTCGATGATCGTTGTGTTGATTTAGGAATTTATTGTCCTCAAAATTTTTTATTTTTTTTTATTTATGGTCCTCCGGAATTTTTTAAGTAAACGATACTTTAAACCTACTATCTATCGTATTCTATTATATTTATGTCATAGGTTTGTCGTAGGGTTTTGTTCAACTAGGTCCGACAGTGCATTTCAATAGAAATTGAATATAAAGAAAAATAACTAAATATAAAGTTTCTCGTCTACAAAGGATTTGATACTGAACATTCTTGAATACCTTGATGATATTTTTGTTTACTTGTATCAATGATGATACTTTCATTTTTATGATACTTTTATTTTTTTTGTGTCTTTTTCATCGATAGTACTTATCATTCTTCGGTTCGTTTTTTATTTTTTTTACCCAAAAAATGAATCTTTGTTTAGTTCCCCTATGGACTTTCTTAGAAACAATCGGGGAAAAAATTTAATACTATAAAACTCGCTTCAGTCTCTCTCAAGCTGTCGGTGGTAGGGACCCTGTAAGAGGGACGCGCCAAAGAATTGTGGGGGACAGGAACTTATGTAGTCATGTGATTGCGCGCGAATGAATCAAACATTTTAAATAGTATAAAAGTTGTATATAGTAATAGAGAATAGTGTAGGGGGTAGAGTGGAGAATTGGTTTGAAAAAATTATGAAATAATGAATTGCATCAAATACAGAAAAAAAATAAACAATGAATAACAAGAAATCTTCCTTGAAGCCTTACATTAATTTGAAGATTTTATTTTGAGCTTTGTTTAGTTTGTTTTATAAAATTTTTCTTTTACATAATCTGTCAGAATGTTAGGGCGAAGGTCGAAAAGGACTCTATTCTCTAACGAATTGATTGATTCAGAAAACGATTTACATAATAAAAATAAAAATAATGTTACACTGCACAAAAAAAAAAGAACTATATGTAGTACTTCCGACTCAGAATCAGAGAAGATTGAAGCAAATGACAGTCACTGTGAAATATGGACGTTAAAAAAATTTGTCCCTAAAATACATGAGTTTATGACAGATAATTCAGGAATTTAAAAACATATTAGTAGATCAGTCAAAATTTTAGACTATTTTCAACTTTTCATCTCTGAAGAACTCGTAGAACTGATTGCAAGAGAAACAAATCAATATTGGTCTCGAAAAAATAATAATATCATAAACAATTCAGAAGGAACAGTACTAGTCGAACTATACTGTTTTTTTGCTACGACATTTTTAATGACACGCAATAAAAAGTTAGCATTAGTAGAGTACTGGAGTACAGACTTAATTGTTTATACTGGATCATCTACTATGTTGCATAGTGAAAATAAGGATATTGGAATATCTGGAACAATAGTTGAAACGCTATGAAGCCGTTCCCTGGGAAAGGGCCATACACTTTATGTGAACAATCGGTATTCAAGTCCAGCTTTATTTAATTTTCTACATAATAATTGCACAAATGCGTGCGAAACGGTTAAAAAAAAGGAGAAAAGGAATGCCAAAAATTGATGAAGAGCTAAAAAGAGGAGAGGCAACATTTCGATCATCCAATAATTTATTAGTAACAAAGTGGATGGATAAAAAAGATGTATACATGTTGTCTACTATGCATACGCAAGAATTTACAACGATAACCAGGCACAGAGAAAAAAAAGTAATACAAAAACCAGTAAGCGTATTGGACTATAATAATTCAATGGGTGAAGTGTGGATAAAGCGGATATGGTTATCAGCACGGTGAATTTCACCCGCAAATCCTTCAAATGGTATCGCAAATTTTTCTTTCATTTGTTGGACATTTGCGTGTGGAATGCTTATTGCCTTTACAAGCACAAGAGAAAAGAACCTATATCCATGGCAAAATTTCAGTTACAATTAATTAGGGAAATATTGGGAAAATATCACCAAAACAAAAGTCGTTAAAATCTAACAGGCAATAATCATCCACTAAGACAAACAGAAAGACCTTTTCTTTCGGTTTATAAATCGGCAGGAAAAAACCGAAGTAAAAGGTGCGTCGTTTGTACTGCAAACGATAAAAGACATGAATCTAAATATGAATGTAGAGACTGTAATGTGGATTTGTGTGTAGATCCTTGTTTTAAAATTTATCATTGTGAATTAAATTACTGAGAACTTTAATTTGACATATTAATTGCCCTCAATTGTATTTAATTATATTTAATTATAAATATATATTGTTTTTAGTTATAAATATATATTATATTTAATTAAAATTATAATATAATAAAAAATAATATAACATTTATTTAAATATTTTACTTTTATTAATAAATATATAAGAATATATTTAATAAAAATAAAATATTTTTAATTATAATCAAGATAAATCTCGACAGTAATAATTGCAAGATATACAAAAATGTCATTATGTAACACATAAAGAAGAGTACGATCCGTAGAATAACAAGGTAGCGTTGAAAGACGTGTAACTTCGAACACCAGTTTACCGACAACAATATGCCTACTTTGCGGAGCATTGCTTCGTTCAGTGGCGTTATAGACTACAGGCCCGACCTAAAAAATCGGTGGGTCATCTGATCCCCCAGGAAATCTATATGGGACGATATAGGGGCACAAAATAATAATTTTTAGCACTATGCCGTTACTTGTAAGTTGTCCAACTGAGTGCAGGTGAGAATTAAAAAGCACAAAATTTCCGGGTGCTTTTTTATCAAATGATTTTGTACGGCATTCTTACCACCTATAGTTCCATCGAAAATAATGAGAAAACACGTAGTGCCGTTTAAAAATAGTAAGCCACAAAGTCGGAAAAAATTTTTGATTTTCTGACAAAACCCCGGGTCTATTAAATCATTTGATTTTGAACGGCGTTGGTTTCATACAATTTCAATACCTATTCTAATTGATTATTTCGCAACGCCATACAAAAATCATGTAACAAGGGAGAAAAATCGAGGGTTAAAATCCACCTTTTTCCACGGGTCTGGGGGGTGATCTGAAAAAGAACGGCATCGGTTTCATTTGATTTTTTAGCATTTAGAAGTACTAATTAAAATAATGCCGTTTAAAAATTGTTGTTTATTTGAATGTATATCAATAATTAACTTAATTTAATCGTATATTTGACTTTTACAGCTGTAAAATCATTTAACTCTGTACGGCAACTTGTTTTTTAACATGACATTGCTAAGTACAATTGTTCTATATTATTGCCGTTAAAAAAAAACTGTTTTAAAAAAAAATATAGAGAAAACAAAAAATGAAATTTTTTCAATTTTTGCAAAAGTTTAAATTGTCGTACATTAATAACATAAAGCAATTTTTTAAATGTTATTGTTGTTTTAAATAGTATAAGGGTTAATGAATTAAGAAAAAATCATGCCGTACATTTTAATGCAGACCATATTTTTTGGCAGATAAAAATAACCCTACCGTTTTAGGGGGTACTTTATCGTCATCTAATACTGTACGGCATTAACATAATTTTGAAAAGAACAGTTAGTAATATGTAAAAATTATTTTGCCGTCTATTTAAAGTGAAACAGTGTGAATATTATATCCATAAATTAAAAACTATCAAACTCAGTATTAACATTTTTCAATAATTTTTGATGAAATATACTTCAAACATTGTTATAATTTATTTATGTAGGAAATATTAATAAGAAATAAAAAGTACTACAATTTTATTGAATAATTTCACATGTTTTATAAGTAAACAATAAAATTGCTGATAGCTGATTTAAACTACACAATATTTATGTGGAAATATATATATTTTTAATTTTATGACTTGCTTATTTATTATTGAAAGTACAATTGAGAATAACTAGTATTGTTAAATTAAGAAGTTGTTATAAAGAATTTTTTTTTGTTACGGAATTCCCAGCAAGAAAAAATAAAAGTAAAGTCTATTGCTGTGTATTTGATTGTACAAACATAGCTTGTCGTGATGAAAAAATTAGGTTTTTGACCTTCACGTAAGTATTTTCAACAATTATTTTTTCTGGTTATTATAAATTGTTACATCAATAAATTTACTCATGCTTTATTGTTTTTGTGTATTGTTATAGCTATTGATTCAACTCGAACTTATTAAAAAAAAACAAGTATTCCTAGTCAAAATCTTCCTTTAGGATCATCTAAAGAATGTGCTTGTCCTGTAGATCAAATAGATTCTCGAGAAGAAAAAATACGTAGAAGATCAATTTAATTAGTGACAGTTAATGATATTGCAATACTGCAACAACATGTTTACAAATACCACTTAAACCAGCCTTGCATGAACTATTCATTCTAATTATTCGACCATTTTTTAATATTTCACTAGTTATTTCATGTGGATTATTTTTAATATGTGAAGTTTGTAAACAAAAAGCTAAAATACTTATAATATTACAATTATGACGACTTGGTACTTGTCCACACTTAATAACATGTCCAGCATTTAATACATTTTCACCACCAACAAAATTTTTATTGCTTGGTTTTGTAATATGTTTATCTAATATACACATACACATACATATACAATATGCATATATATTATATTGTATGTATCTTCGCGTTCGTGCTACCCTCCTGAACACTATATGTACGTTTTAAAAATGTAAATTAAAAAATAGACAAGTATTTTAATAAATATAACATTCATTTAATAACTAATATTTATTATTTGAATAATATTAATTTTAAAGGAGAGTTCATTTTACAAAGCAAACAACATAAAATGAAAATTATATATATGTATTATTTTTATTACTTTTTTATGAATATGAACTATCAGATTTGTACGGCATTAATTTTTTATGGCGATTGCATTAAATAAAAATAAACTATTTAAATGCCGTACAAAAAAATGTCATACTAAATATCACCCAAAAGTACATTTTTTACATGGATTTTTCGGAAGTTTTTTTCCCCCCACAGACCCTTTGACCAAAAAAAATGTACGGGTGTGGAAAAATGTTATCTATGCATAAAATCCTTTCAAAAAAAAATTAATTTTATGTAGTTTCAAATCACCCCCCAGACCCGTGGAAAAAGGTGGATTTTAACCCCCTAATAATAATACAATTTACTCAGGTTTATAGTATTTTTCATTTCTGTCTAGTTATTGCATTCATTTTATTTTAGTGATAATCTATAATACTTTACTTAATTACAAAATTATACCGTAAAACAATAATTTTATCATCCAGATACTTTTGATAATAATAATAATAAATAATAGATCATTTTTCATGTTTTTTCATCTATAGCAACACGAGCCTTTTGAAAATATACAAAATTATGTTATAACAATGTTAAATAAATGCTTTAAGAAGTAATGCTACCCTGGCGCTCAGGAAAGTAGCTATAAATTTAAACTTATACACAGATATTAATTATGATAATTTAATCTTTAGTCTACATATATATATGCATATAAAAAAAAATTTTTTAAATTAAAAATTATGAAAAATTTACAATATTAAAAATTAAGAAAAAAGAAAATGGCAGAGATATAAGGTGTGATATGTAGAGCCCTGTTTTGCTGATGATGGGCACGATATCTTAAGATTTACTTAACCAATTTGTTTGAAATTTATAACAGTTACACTTCATAAGATTGTTTTAGTATTCATCGGACCGTTTTTTGATTTTGTGTCTTGTTCAAAAGTTATTAATTTTATAAACTTAAAATTTCAAGAAAAATTTGAATTCTTTTTCAAACAACTGCTATTTCTAGAAAAAATTTGTTTAATTTTTGTTCCACAATGAATACTAACCCATTACTTTTCTTATTAATAAATAATTATTGGTTTTTTCTCAGAACATCTGTTAAATCGAAAATCAGGCCCATCATTAGAAAAACAGGGCTCTACACATATCATCTTATATCTCTGCCATTTCTTTTTTCTTAATTTTTAATATTGTAAATTTTTCATAAAAGTATTATGTATATATGTATAAGAAAGATTATTTTATTATATTTAATGTCTGTGTTAAAAAAAGTTTAAATTTATAGCTATTTTTCCGATCGTCAGGGTGGCTAACCCCTTAATGGAAAATCTTGCAAATTGTGGTCAATTCTTAATTTTTGAAATTATAATATAAAATAAATTTTTATCTACAATTTATATTACTTCATTATTATTAAAAAAAATTTACAAATAAGCAAAACACTATACAATTATTATTATTAGTACATTTGTTTTTAAATGCTTACTTCCTAAGAAATTTAAAGATACCATATATTGGCTGACATTATATAATCTGTTCGTTCTTTTCCTTTACTTTTTCTTTTACTGTAAATATTATTTAAAATATGTTATATTAATGATTATATAGGATTTATATAGAAGCTACTGCGGAAAATAATATGGCTGTTTACATATGTCATTTATAAATATAGTAAAAACACAAAGATTTTAATTCCAAAATATATGAATTAATACGTAATATAAGTAATTTGAATGAAATTATGATAAATTAACCATAAAAAATATTTTTAGAGAATAGCATACACAATATAATTTCTAATATCGTAATATTTAACTTTTTTCAAATACCGTATAAATGTACGCTGTCATAGGTAGAAAGTAAGAATGCTCGGTGTGTCATTTAAAGGGTATTATTTATATCTATCCGCGGCCTTTTTATGCGAATTGCCCTACCCTCCTCCTGTTCATCGCCATTACTCGATAAATATTCTCTTTTCTTTTCTGGATTCTAAAACATGAAATATTTACGAATGTAATCTAAATTTATACATTTGTAGTCGAGTTATAGTAGTCAGTGTTTTAACATATACTTACGATACCTTTTTATCCCATTGCTGATGAAGATACCTTAGAAGTATAGTTGTCTTTTCTGTAACTATGACTACAAACATAGATTAATAGGAGTAATACTGTTAAAAATTCTAACTATAATTACTTATAATCATATATTCAAATATAGTTGAATAGAAACATACTTTGTTCTGGTGGATAATCTTTCGTTGGAAGATAGACTGATGGTCTTTTAACACAGGTACGATTTCCATTGTCAGTATGAAAGTTCGCAAAGTTATTTTCATCGTGCGAAGGAAGTCCTTTCAGAAATTCTGCGATAGACTGTATACAAGTATATTTTCCTAACATTTATATTAACCTAATATTTTTCAATTTACTTCATAATCATAACCTCAAACAATAAAGCTACAAAATTTTTAGTATCATTAGTGGAGGTAATAAATATTTTCTTACCATTATTAAAAAATTTACTATTCTAATACAAGGATGTTTAAATCCTTTCACAGGAATCCTTCCGCAGAAATCCTTCCAAAAAAATTTGCGTACAATTTAATTCATGAAAAAAGTATTGTTAAACTGTCGTGTTAGACAAAACACGAAATATGTATTGACTAGCTCGTAGCTCGATATACTAAACATAAAACATTACAAATTTTGTAAAAGCTGTCTTTTATCCGTTCAAATATTACTTGTAATATTTAACAAAGAATTGAATGAAACAAAAATAATATATTCTTCTAAATGAAAAAGAAAAATTCACAATTGAAGCGCACCGTATACTTCGTCAATTGTCTTATTGTGTTTGATGTTATAGCAAATTTATCTGTAGATAAAGAAGAGCCAATAAAATGTCTTTTCTGATTGTATGCTTAGTTATATATTCACATACATGTGGCGCATAAGACGAACTGACATGTATTTTTGACATCAATGTAATATACGTCGAATGTTTATCAACAAAATTGACAAATACCAAAATAAACATTTTTTTGATGAATTATTAATGAAGTATAATAATAATGTAAAAAATTATGATATTAACCAACAAATTAAATTTCACAATTTCGAAGGAATTTATCGTTGTGTAAAATTATTATGCATTGCAGGAAGTGGGTTAAATTGAAAAAGAGTAGTGATTGGTATGAATTGGAAGCAGAATCAATTAAAGATATAAGGCAATGTCTTGTACGAATAAATTTTGTTCAAATAGCATATGCCTGCGATAATGAAAGATTAATAGCTATAGACTCCAAAGGTATAGCTTATTACATTGACTTAACGAATGTACACCCATCTTATCAGAAACTTGGTTCTATAGGACAAGCTTGTTTTGTAGCATTCAATCCTATAGACAATAGTGAAATAATAATAGGTCTTACCACTGCTGACATAAAGCTTATGAAAATACATGCAAATATCAAAGAATTCTGTTTAATATCAGGACACAAATTACCACCAACAAATATCTCCTTTTATAAGGATTATTGCTTAACGTTTTCTTACAAAGAAGTTATAATATGGCATTTAAAATCTTTTAGTAAAGCGCACCAATTACATATTAATACTAAAAATGTATCCATAAAAAAAGCAAGCTTTTCAAACTTAGGTCATATTGTTGTATTATATCACAATGATAGTGTACAAACTTGGATGCTTAATCAGTTGGATACAGATACAAAATTAGATATCAAGAAATTTAGTATACGTAATATAAAAGACTTTGTTTTTACGCAAAATGGAAGAGCTATGATAATAGCTAGTACTCAAAACAAAATCATTGTTTTAAATACATATAACTGGAATATGATCAAAAGTTGGAGTTTACCGGAAAAATTCATTGGTGTAAAACAGATGTCAATTGTACCTTTGCCATTAGATAGCGGTGCTAATCAAATATTAGCAGTTATTTCATCAAATTGCATGGTCTACATTCTTAATTTAAATTTGTCACGTTTCATTCATATGAAACATGAAATCAATAACGTTAAAAAAATAGTAGTTTCTTCGGATGGTAGATATATGACGATTATTGATAAACAAGGATTCTTGAAATTAATACTTTGTGACAAATTGTTTTCTTCAGAACCAATGCGAACAGAAAAATTAGAAAAATTAGAAAACAAATGTAGACCTAAAGCTCACAAAATAAATGATCATCTTCAATGTATCAGACAAAATATAAAACAAGAATTACATCTCGATAGACTATTACTGATTTTACAAGAATTTGGAACATTTCCTGACAAATATCGTCCTCTTATCTGGTCTACGATATTAAAACTTCCAGCCAATAAAACTGCATTCATCTCTTTAATGAATAATGTAACGCAAAGAGAAGTTTCTTTAAACTTTCTTAAAAATTATCATTTAGCTGATCGCAGTAAGGTATCATTATTAACAATGATAATAGATTGTTTAATACAATGGTGTCCTTTACTTGCTCAGACTTCATTTTTGCCAAATCTAATATTTCCATTTCTTATGGTATTTCAGGTAATACTCTAATAATATCCTATTTAATTATGCTTCTATGTATAATTTTCTATTATATGTTTGCATACTTATTTCAGAAAGATCAACTATTTGCTTTGGAGCTTGTTTTAAGTATACTAGTAAATTATTGTCAAAAATGGTTCGAATATCACCCCTTACCGCCTTTAAATATTTTGGGTATTATTGAAAATATTCTATTGAGAGCAGATCCACAACTGCTAAATGTTTTTTGCGAACGTGGTATAACATCTATAGAATATGCATGGCCGTTACTGCAAACAACAATGAGTGAAGTATTGTCTGGTGATGAGTGGCTTATTTTGTGGGATCATTTATTATCTTTCCAAACATCTACTCTTTTTCTTATGTGCATTATTGCCTATAGCATTTGTTCGCGTAATATTATTTTCATGTTGCATACGGCTGAAGATTTAAAGCGTTTCTATAGGACGCAAGGGCATATTAGAGCTAAAGAGTTGTTAAAAGTAGCGCAACACCTTGATCAGGACGTTCCACATCGACTGCATCCTAATCTTTATCTTAGGTAATATAATTATGAATTTTTATTTGAATTTACATCTTAATATATATTAGGACCTTGAATAAGTTCTCGCTGTTTCATCAAAGATGGCAATAGCAGTACTCCGTGCTTGAAATTTCGAATGGTAATGCACTTGCAAGGAAGTACTGTATCTAACCTGAAATTTCAGTGTATGATAGTTCACTTTAGTGTAAACAAAGTAATTTCTTATTAGTTTTGAAAATGTCTACTTTTGTGCTAACTAAAGTGTATTTGCGGGAAATTTTATTGTACTACTTTATTCAAAAGAAATCGGCAGCTAAAGCACATAGAATTCTTGTTGAGACTTATGGTGACAATGCTCTGTCGGATACGACATACAGAGACTGGTTTCGACGCTTCAAAAATAATAATTTTGAACTTGAGGATAAAGAACGTTCTGGCGCACCAAAAAAATTTCAAGACAGAGAATCGGAGGAATTACTCGATGAAGACCGATCTTAGACGCTAGCAGAACTTGGAAAAACATTACAAGTTGATGAGTAAACTTTCAAAACGTTTAAAAATGTTAGGAATGATCCAGAAGCAAGGACATTGGGTGCCATATGAATTGAAGCCAAGAGACATCGTACGGCGTTTTGTCACCTGTGAATTATTGCTTCAACGGCAGAAAAGAAAAGGTTTTTTGCACCGTATCGTGACTGGCGATGAAAAATGGATACACTATGATAATCCAAAGCGTAGAAAATCATGGGGTAAGCCTGGCCATGCATCAAAATCGTCCGCAAAACCAAATATTCATGATTCGAAGCTTCTTCTCTGTATTTGGTGGGATCAGCAGGGTGTAATTTATTATGAGCTGCTCAAACCGAATGAGACTATCACGGGGGATCGCTATCGACTTCAATTGATGCGTTTGAGTCGAGCCCTAAAAGAAAAACGGCCGCTATACGAGAAGAGACACGACAAAGTGATTTTGTTACATGACAACGCCCGGCCTCATGTTGCAAAACCAGTGAAAACTTACCTAAAAACGCATCGATGGAAAGTTCTACCCCACCCACCGTATTCACCTGACATAGCACCCTCCGATTTTCACCTATTCCGTTCGATAGCACATTGCTTAGCTGATCAGCGTTTTCATTTTTACGAAGAAGCTAAAAAATGGGTCGATTCTTGGATAGCCTCAAAAGACATGTCGTTTTTCCAACGCGGAATTCATATACTGCCAGAAAAATGGGAGAAAGTGATCTCTAGTGATGAGCAATACTTTCAATAAAACGTTTTTGCTCCTTATATTTTAAATAGTTTTTATTTTGTAAAAACAGCGAGAACTTATTCAAGGTCTTAATACTATAATTTATTTTAGGAATAAGTTAATACAATTGCCAAAGAAAGGACCATATCCTCCGTTTGTATTAGAAGATTATCCAAAATTTCTTACCGAAGAATTAAATATCTCTCAACTTCAAAAGCTTCAAAAACAAAAACAAATCTTGCAGAGGTACAAACAACAAGCTGTATTAACAGAGGAAAAAAGATTAAACAATGCAGCGAAGACTTTTATGGAAGAAATTCATAAAAAAAGACTTCATGGTAAAGGATCAATAATCTTATTAATCTTATTAATTAACAATAATCATTTAAATAATTATGTATAGTTTGTTTGACATAAAATTTTAATTTTTCAGAAGTAAAGAAATCTTTTCAAGCACAATTATATAATAAAGAATTAGAATTAAATGAAATAATGGAACAAATGAAAGGAGAAGTAGCATCATATAAACATATGGAAAGAAAACTTTCTCATATTTTAACAAATTCAGAATCAGAAACATATAGTAGTACAGATTCAGAAAATACTTCAAAAATGAATAACAAAGAATTAAGAAATTGTACAAAACTGCAAAGAGATGTAGCTAGATTAGAAGATGAAGTACAAAATGTTTTAGACGAATTGAGATGTAATAGACCGACTAGTTAATATTATTTAATTTTAAATATATATTCCTTAATATTTATTTAAAAATTGTAATCGTGAAAAAAGTACTCTTCTATCTTATATTTTGGAATTTATCAAAAAAGTAGCTTTCTCATATGTATTTGGGTACATATGATATCTAAAGAAAAAAAAAGAAAAAATATTTTTATTTGCAAAAATATTTTATTTTTTTATGTTTCTCAATATAAAAAGTTTCTTGCATCATATGCAATTAAATTAGGTTATGCCTTGATTTTATATGTATATATTATTACGCATCTGTCTAATTATATTTAATGATCAAAACTGGACAAACGAATAGACAGGTACATTGAGTTTTTCCCGTGCCTTTAATTCAGTAAGTTCCATTATCACTAAACATTCCACTATTTCTGCATTTAAAGATTTTAATAATTTAACAGCTGCACCCATAGAACCTGTATATAAACTGCATATTAAAATATAATAAAAATTAAAATATTATGTAGATTCAAATATGTACGTAAATCAATAGCTGAAAGTTATAAAAAATTAAATCCTACCTCCGGTTGCTAATAAATCATCGATTATAAGAACTCGAGTACCTTCCTTAATGCTTTCTACTTGTAATTCAAATGTGGCCTGTAATAGCAACAAAGTGTATAAATTAATCAAATGTATGAAAACAATTTGAAATAAGAAAAGAAAAACTCATAAATTGTGTATAACTAACTTCTCCGTATTCCAAATTGTAGCTTTGACGTGCTACTTTTCCTGGAAGTTTCCCCTTTTTCCTAATCGGTATGAAAGGTTTGTCAATTTCGACACATATCATTGGGCCAAGTAAAAATCCACGGGAGTCCAAACCTACAATCAAATCAACTTCAAGGAACAAAACATGTTCCACAAGCAGATCTCTCATGGCTTTTAATGCTAACGTATTTTGAAACACAGGAAATATATCTCTGAAAATAAGTAACTTCTACTACATAATACATCTAATAAAAAAAGAAAAAAACTAGCAAAATAAATTTCATTGAAATGTTTAGTTTATTTTTATTTTATATGACTTACCGAAAAATAATACCAGGTTTAGGAAAATCTTCGTAATTCTTAATAGAATCCTTGAGTAATTTTAATTTTTGACTTTTATCCATTTTGATGCACGTCTATTTTTTTCAAGAAAAAATGGATCAATCTTCCTAATGTTTCAATTTCTATTATAATATAAGTTTATAATAATATATAATCGTCTATGTTTGGGTATATATTTAATTATCAAAGAATGTAAATAAAATACTTTAAATTGCTTTTGTATTTAGATTACACGTATTGATAAATTTTAAGTCATAAATATAGAAAAAAAATAAACTGAAATAAGAAGAACGACGACATTAATTGAAACACGTGATCCACTTGATGACAGTGATATACATCAGCGCCATTACTTTGTCGTAGACATATACAGGGTGTATTGGAAATTGTGATACAAGTCGAAATTGAAATGACTTGTGATAAAAGCGCTTTTGTTTTCGAGCAAATCGATTATAAAGTTCTATCAAGTACGCGTGCATTTCAATATATTTTTCTTAGATTTTATAAAATATGCTGTGAAAGGATAATAATAATAAGAAGAAAATATTCAAGATACAATTGTATAAGTACTATGTATTATTAGCATTCAACACACGTTTAATATGTTTATGCGCTTGAAAACGATTATAGAATATATTTACAAACCTTTTATCAAGTAGATGTATAATGAAATAATGAATATATTACTTCCAAATACTTGGTATATTTACTTTTACACTTAAATATATTCTTATATTTTATTATTTTAATCAATAAAATTATTTCGCGAAGACTCATTGTTCATCTTTAACAATAACAAACTCTACATATATATATCCCATTGAATGAATTATTCTGAATGTTTTAAAATGGCAGTGCTTTCAAATAAACTCATAGCACGATTCTAAAACTTCATTTGCTTGTGCAAATTATAAAATGTACATTTGTACAAACACACCATGCATAGTATTGATTAATTATCGGTATACAGTATTAAATAATCCTCAATGCATTATCACTCTGTATACGTATCTCTGAATAAAGTTTATACAATAATCAGAAACAAATGTCGATAGACAACATACATTTTAACGGTGTATGTAAATCTCCAATTCCTCTTTATGACTAGCAGTTCTAATTCATCAATCGCGTTCGGTATTATATTAAAATAAAAAGATCGATCCACACAATGGAATAGCAAACGAAATATTCTCAAAAGTGTTCAAGCGATTGTTCACACCTTGGTTGTGGCCAATAATTTAATGTAATGCGCCTTATGTGTGATTTCGAATTCCTGGGCTGGTAAAAAGCATTGGGTTTGTATTCTAGGATGACGGATCTTACGTACAATATTTCGACCAATTAAAACGAGCACGATCAAGAGAGCACAAGTTGCTCCTACGATAATTAAAATAATAGCTTCTGTATTTTGTTTGAAACGTTGCACCTCAACGCATTGAGATCGACCACGATCGTTTTCAGTAATACTAAATGCAATCGATTCGGCATTAGCAAGATCGTCTAGACTGGCGCATACTTTGTAACGACCTGGCACTAATACTTCCAGACTAACAAACGTTAAACTGCAATTCAATTTACATTTATGTATGGCTGTTTCAGTATTGAAGACAACTATGGAGATTTCGCACGGCGAAGCACCTGATTTTTCCGAAGGTGATAAACCGACGTTTACGTGTAAAGAACCTTGATCAGACACATTAACATGAACTGCAATTATTCGGACGTCTAAAGAATTAATAGTATTTGCAGGTAGTTGATCCTGCTGTTCTTCTTGTTTAGTCTCTTCCAACGTTATAATGTCGCTACAACCCAAACCAAGAGACTCGTCATTGTACGCCGTTGGAATAAATAGTACTACGCAGTAACGATATTTATGACCAAGCTGTAAATTAAATGACGGCGGGGTGGTTACTGGCAAGGAACAAGGATCTTTCATCATATGAGGATCACAATGTAATGGATTAGACTCCGTTTGAACCTCGTTGTCCCCTATAGTTTCGTAAACGATCAGTGTGTCGCAAGTGTAATTTTCTGTGCAAGGCTCTATGTTCCATAAAAGATGAATTCCAGTTAATTGATTGTAACGATACTCCTTTAAAGTTGCTCTATTCATAGATGGTTCTCCGCATAGCAGACTTCCTGGCGAGACTTGAGTCAAAATTCCATTTTCCAAGGTAGGTGGTGTGGCACAAACGGCGGAAGATTTGTCCTCCTCGCTTAAACTCGAATTATTTAGCCAAGTGGCAAAGTCTAAGAGGGTACAATCGCAATTTAAAGGATTATCAGCAAGAGAGAGTCGTTTTAATCGTAATTTCGAGATCGGCACATCGTTAGCAACCATCGTAATTTCGTTATCGTCTAAACGTAAATCTTCGAGACTTTTCAAAGGCACTACTAGATCAGCCGTTAAAGATCGTAAGAAATTATGCATTAGATCTAGATTAGTCAATTTTTCTAAATGTGCCAATGACGCGCTAGAAACGTCTACTATACGATTATTAGCTAAATCCAATTTAGTCAATGTAGATAAATGCTTGAACGAGTGATCCTCCAAAACGTCGATCTGAAACATGAAAAACATGCACTGTATGTCGTCTATTGATCAAACAAAATCTACCTTTTCACATCACTAACCTGATTATGACTGAGGATGAGATAACTCAAATTTCTAGCACCGTTTAAAGCTCCTTGTTGTACATTGATAAATTCATTCTCGGATACACTAAGAAAATGCAAACGAGGCATCCACGGAAGAAGATTTGGTCCCATTGGTCCCAATAATAAATTACTCGACAGATCGAGTTCTTCCAAATTCTTCAGACCTCTTAACGCCGAAAGAGCTGAAACGCTCAAACGATTCCCCCGCATTCGCAAAAATCGAAGATTTGGAAGTGCCGCAAAAGCTTGCGGCGATAATTGTGAAAGTAAATTATCGCACAAATCCAGATACGTTAAGCTTGATAAGCCCTGAAACAAATGACACAATACTTACAATTTTAATGAGACAATGTTTACAATTATTCATTAAGAAACTTACGTTGAACGAATCTGCTTCTAATGTCTTCAATTTATTATGAGAAAGATCCAATCGATCTAATCCAGTGAGATACTTCAATGCCAACGTTGGAACGGATTCTAAAAGATTATTAGGAAGTCCAAGAGCCTGAAGTGGTCTAGCTAGAGCAGTAAATGCATTTTCATGAACGCGTCTCAGCTCTCCGCTAGAAACTACGAGTCCATGTAGGCCAATATTTTCGAGGAAACATGCTGGCAATATAGAAATTCCTGTTACAGTTACGTCTAAGAGAGAAATGGTTCCTGCTTTACTGCTCTTTAAATGTTCGCTGATCACCTAATTGAAATAAACAACAAAGACGTTCAATTTTTCGTAACAAACATATCTTACAACAAATAATAATGTAGAATGTAATATTATATATACATGTAAAGCTGTTCTTTCTCCAGTACATCTAAGAGTATGTGGAAAATCACAAGAACATTCAACGCTTGGTCTCGTAATATTAGGACATTTCCAAACAGAGTCGGACATTAATGATGCCGTTGAAACTTCTTCTGAATCTTTTTCACTAGAAGTACTTGACGAAGTAGTTATATTTTTGATGCTTTCGCTCGAACTCGTCGTCATCATCGTAGCGTCTACTATGGATGTTGTCGTCGAATTGATCACGCTTATATCTGTACTTGTAGTTATTATCGAAGATGACTTAATCGTCGATTCATTGTTTCCGCCATTGAAACACGATGCTGTTACGATAGTGGCCAAAACAATGAAACTTTGAGATATCCTCGACATCCTGAAAAGTATAATAATTATAGATTGTAGATACAATTTGTTTAACGTGAATTATTTCAATAATATCGATAGAAAATCGATCTTTTTATTATATTCACATTTTAAAACAATTTGATTATTGTTTCATCAAAATAACCCTCTTGGCAATCAAATTTAAAAAAAAATGAATTAAATTAATTTTGGTAAATATTTTTCAGTTTTGTATATACAATTAAAAGTCGATGTCACACGCTTATTACAACGAGGTATGGCTCGTAACAAGAAGCGATTTGGAAAAATTATTGGAATTCGATCGAGATCTACAAAAAAGCAAACCTATAAAGAATAGAGAAAATGCATTAGATCGTGCACTTAATCTTTACATAAGGTGTATTACAAATTGGAATTGTTCTTTTTTTTAATCTCGTATCTTTCATATATCTATTTTTACATATATATATTTATAGATATCGATATCTTGTAAGAAGACTTGTCATATGTTATAATCAAATGGTACAAACACAAAAACGAGAATTAATCAAGAAAGTAGTCGATTGTGCAATTGGACGAATGCTCCAATGCAAAAGAGAAGTCGTTAAATTGGATTCTTCTTATTTTCAGTATATAAAATCTATTTTACTTTAATTGTAAGATAATTCTTATTGTTAATTAATTGTCATGATCATAAATCGCTTACGAATGATCAAGGTGGCCCGACGATGTGTTGTATAAATTAAAATTAACGCCAGACGATGTAAACACTCCTGGCTTGACGATCGATAAAAATCATGCTTTAGAACGTAAAGAGTTAATCGAGAAAATAAAAAGAGAAGAGGAAGAAAAATGTACGTTTCAAAATGAGAAATTGAAGTAGTTCCATTTTCAATGTTTTATTATTTTTGATTAAAAATTCTGATCATTTGTTGATTGGTCGATCAAAGCAATACTATATTATATTTTTATACTATTCTGTCAGATGTATCATACGTTGTACTATGTTTCAGCTTTTATGATAAGAGAACGAAGCCTTTCACAGGTGATGATAAGTAGTATGATGGAACTCGAGGAATCACCGTCTAAAATACAATTAATGCGTAGAAGAAGACACAGGCCTACTGATACCGCGCAAATGAAAGTTTTAATAGAAACGCCTGAGCAAAGGCAAACTAGTGAAGCTCGAAAAGCTCGAGAAGCTGCTGAAAAGGTTATGCACGATGCGGTGCTTTTGATACAGTCACATGAAAGAGCTAGAGTCGGACGTTGCATTGGTAAAGAAGGTAAATTCAATCTAATAATTTTTGAAGAGAAAACTTCTTTAGAAGGGAGTGAAGCCGAAAAAAAGCGAACAGAAACGCGGTGACGTTTCAAAAAGAGACAAACATATAGGATTGAGACTGCGAGAGAATGAGACAGAACATAGCTACACAGTTTTTCCTATTCTTGGTCTCCTCTTTATGCTCTGCTTCGTAGTATTGCTCCTGGTTGTATATATGTGTTTGTGTGCGACTGCATACTACGAAGCGTGGACTCATATCATTAAGATACTAAACCTGCATGTATGTAGGGGCGATATAAGGGTAGAAGAATAAACAGAGTAAGCGTGTAGGCGACAAAAGAATAAGATACAAACGAACCGACGATCGAAATAAAGAAAGAAGGTGTGTGATCTGTCTTTGTAAGTTGTTAAGTTGAGTAAGTCCTGTGTGAGTGTGGAAGGTTCTCGAACGATACCGATGCTTTGTTTATTGCATCAGATCGGACGTTTTGCAAAATTCGAGAACAGCGTGCGGATGGAATCAAAAAAGCGGGTATTGAGTCGTCATGAGTAGTCGCCAGTCGCTAGTCGTCATCAGTCGTTTTTCGTTGTCATTCAGTTGAAAAAGTTCAGTTGCGTATATCAGTTGTTATCATAAGATTGTTAAGCCTTTATTGTTTCTTTTCTAATACCTATTTTAAATATATTTTATCAATAAAATTAAATTGTGTGTACATTAACCTCGCACCTCTATACTAAACAAAATCCTACATATATATATATATATATTTTTTTTTTTTCTATCTATGGCTATCGCATTCGGCATTCTATCTTAATTGATACAATTTGGAAAGTGATAGTATTTCTCAGCTACCCTCATTCCAAGATCATACCGGTGCCCTTTGATATATATGGTAACAATATTATAATAAATAAATCCTACAATTATCTTACTCTTGATACTCTGCATTCGACTCATTCTCTCGAGGCTTGGTTTTAAGAAGGTTTCACTTCTAACACGTGTGATTTGCACACTTGATGTTTATTTTTATAATTCCTTATTTTCTTGAAAATAAAAACGATATTTCATATAACATTTTATTTCTATTTATTCAATATTGACCTTTAGCTTTACTTATATATGAATATAAAAGAAAATTGGAAACCGGTGATACGGCTCCGCCAATGAAATTCGATAAAGCAACGTATATTAAAGCGATCGTTATTATTCAACGTGCTTGGAGAACATTTGCAGCCCGAAAGGATTTCAAAAGGAAATTAAATCGTTTAGAAGAAATTTTAGATATGACGATCCCAAGTTGGAAGTCTCTAGATATTTATCAAAGAGACGAAGAAATTTTTCAAAAGAGATTACAAATCATACCGACGTACGCTGCACGAACTGAAAAAATGTTTCACGATGAACGTATTAGGGTGACATTTTTTAGTATAAGATTTTAAATATGATGATTTGTTCAATTTGGCAAGAGGACCAATTTGTTGATAACATGTTTTTTTTCAAAGTTGTTGAAAATGGTAGGGCCTGGATTAATAGAGGATATAACCGATGAAATCCAAGAATGGTTCATCGTTTGGTACGATACAGTTGGACACTTTGATGTTTATCCACCAGAAGAGTTAGGTGGTAGCGTTTTGATAGTGACGGGACAGACTACGGATCCAGAAGAATATTTAATGCAACAGATACAAAAACAGAAAGATGCAAAAACTAAAAAGATTGCACAACCAGAGAAAGCAAAGATAAAACCAAAAGTTAAAGAAATTGCTAGAGGATGGTTTATGCCAGAAACTCCAGCATTTACCTGTTTGGAAGAAGCAAATAATGAATTCATCGAAAATTGGAGCTATCGAGACGAATCTTGTAATCCTTTACAAAGACCTTATCTTGATTTGATCGCCGATAAACTTTGTTACGAACTTCAATTAGAAATGCGACTGATCGTCGATGAGCTTATGAGACTCGAATTGGAGAAATTGAACGAAGCTTTATTGAAAGATCACGCGGCTGATAGACCTAAATTTCAGATTCCTCGGATGCTAGGTGCACGTATGTATTATCTTGTCAAAATAATTCATTGATAGAAATAATATAATAAATTTATCGAAAAAATAATGATCATTAATTAAAATCAGAGAGACTACCAAGAAAGAAATCAAAAAAAAAATCAAAAAAGGATCGTTTAGCTGATATTTCTATAGAAGAACTTTTCAAAGAACTTGTACAAGAAAATATTATTCGAAATTATCCAGAAAGAAGTTTGAACAATTGGTTCGGTGATCTTGCTTACCAAAATTACGAAGCATATTCTGAATTTCGAGATCACTATCATCGGCTTGGAGAGATCAAACAAATTATCATGGAATATTGCGTGCTACCCCTCTCTTCTAAAGAAATACATACAATTGCACCCTTAATACGATCCGTTTGTATTTGTGGTTTACCTGGATATGGTAAAACTTTTCTGGTCGATGCAATTTGTTCGGAGGTTAAATATTCAGTTTTAGACAAATTAACCCCTTAAGCAGCACGCTCGAGTTAACTCGAGCGGCGTATTATTTTATATTTCTATGATTTTTTACACTCAAATATATTAGAAAATTGAAAATAAGAATGTGAAAGCAAAGAAAAAGAATCGTTTTTTCCGAAATAGTAATTCGAAAAGAAAGATTAAAAAGTCGACGTACGTGTAACATTGCAATACTCGGCTCTTCTCTGCAATGTGGAACAAAATCCAAAATTAACATAAAAATATTGATTATTTCTGTATTTTAAAAATTTTTTTGTTAAAATAATGTTGTAAACTATGTTTTTATACAAGAAAAAAAATGATTTTTTTTGCCGTTTTTTTTTCAAAATCAATGCTGCTTAAGAGGTTAATAAGAAAGAGTAATATTTTTAACTACTAATTAAATATTAACTCTACCCCATAGGTTGGTGCACTCTTATTCGATTTAACACCATCTGTATTAATTGGTAAATACATTGGTAAAAAAAACGAACGGAGATTAATGGATATCATTGGCAAATTAAGTCGCATTTATGCCCCTTCAGTGATATTTATCGACGGTAGCGAGAAACCATGGTTAAAGAAAGTCCCATTAGTTGAACGATATCTTCAACCCAAACGATTTGCTAAACACCACGCAAAGTTTGTCAAAAGTATCAGACCAGGTGATCAGGTAATAATCGACGAATTATTTTCTAATTCTTACTTCGTCAAAGTATTTCGCGTGAAATAATCATTCCTTCTACTTTCCCAAACCCGACCAAAACTATCAGTATTCGCCCACTTAGGAAAGAAAAAATACTATTTTTACTCTTTCTTCGATATGAATGAACTCCAGTTAAGCGAGAACCACGGGTCGATTCAAACAAGACTTTTTTCTTTCTCTCTCTCTCTCTCTCTCTCTCTCTCTCTCTCTCTCTCTCTTTCACTCTTTCACTCTTTCTCCTTTTATTACTTGAAACGCCTCGATCGTCCGAGGCTGGTCATCAATGAAACACCTCCTACCGGTATACGGAACGAGAAGAACGTAGGTGGTAGCAAGTTAACATAGGATTTAGAGTGTCAGAGATTCCGGACAGTTACTGTTACCCACTGGCGTAGCTATCGTAAGACATGATTTTTAAAATTCTTTTTTTCAGCAGTCATATCGTGTCTCGTAGAAAGGCAAGTATAAGAGATAGACGTCTTTCGTTTAATTTTATACAGAGTACGAGAGTTTATCATTCGAAATATTTTATTGAAAATTTATATTTTTAGGTTTTATTCCTAACTGTTTCATCGGAGCCATATAAAGCAAAGGGTGCATTTACAAAAATTCACAATGTATTTATAATGATACCTCTTACTGATTATAATACTCTATACATGTATTATAAATATATGTTAATGAAATATCATGGAATAGATAGAAACATAGACGTTTCTTGTCTAGCTAAAATGTCCGTTGGCGTACCTTTGAAATTTATTCAAAAATCGATTGAAAAGGTATTATCGCTCGAAAGAAGAATCATTTTGAATTATGAACCATTATCGCAAGTAGAAATTATGGAAGAAGTTTGGAAATACGAGCCTCTCGCTAACAAAATCCTTGAACAATATAAACATTTCGAAAATAAAACTCCTCTTGGTCGAATGAGAGAAAGAACGGTAGCTAAAGAGAAGGAAGCCTACGAGAGAAGCGCTGCTTTGAAAGCAATGCGGGAAAAGAGAAGAACGTAATAACTAATGTTGAAAAAGTACATTGAAAGCAATTCTAGCGATCGAAGATTGAATGGTTCCTTCTTTCTCTTGCATCGATGTTCTCCAATGCTCTCAAGAAGTCCGGACGCGAAACTGGTTTTCGTCTTCGGAGATGCTGAAAATGCTGAGAGCATTCATTGAAAAAACAATCAAGAGCCGATGCAGGTAGTACCATGAAAGCTGTCGCTACGTATTTATCGACTTCATTATTTCTTATCTGTTTCTTTGAAATTTTATATCTCAAATCTCGAGAAATTTTGTATACACGAAAATCTGAAGAAATAATATTTAAACTTTCACATATTGTCGAATGATAGGAAGAAAAAAAGAGAGAAAAAAAAAATCTTAAGAATATTTAATTTATCATGTATGTGTACAACGAATTATAGCCGATATAAAAAAAAAAACAAAGGAAAAAGAATATAAGAATAAAAAATATTATCTCGCAAAGGAAACTTGATCCGTCTCTACTGCATTTAATTAGCGCCAGATTCGAATGATCGACGGTGAATGATCAATGAATTTTCTACTGAATATAAATAGGAATAAAATTTGTTTAAGCAATGTTGAATATTTTATCAGAATGATGTATCAACCCTATACGTTTTATACACGAGTCTATTTACCAGTTGGAAAAAGTAAACGGTAAAAAGCGAGTAGGAAGAAAATGAGGGAAAAAAAATGTCCTGTTTGCGATGTGCGACGTCCTTTTTACAAACGTATCTACTGAAATGGTATGCGTAAAGATACGGCTCCGTTCTTTAGGTATATCTGTGGTGTCTGTAGTTACTCTTACCAGACAACACACGCACACCGTTTCCCGCGCAACAGAGATGGTAGATTTACGCGCAAGCGAAGTAGAGTACCTACATGTACATGTAGGTATACAAAAGTATTACGATGAGCAAAAGAAAAAGGTAAGAAGAGCGCACCTGAGAATAGAGAATACGTTCGTCCAGAAGACGTTAATCTTCTTTATATTAGTCTTCTTCCTCTTGTTTCTTTCCTTCTTTTTCTCTTCCTACCTTCTTGGTGAAAAGACGAATAGACGGACACTTAAAAGGTCGCGCGCGAAATTCAGAATAAGAAGGAGAGAAAGAGAGGCAGATAATAACGGCGATCATGCCGATGAGGAGAACTAAATGACGACGAACACATATCGTCCCCCTTTTCAACTTCTAACGCGCGTAGAAAAGGGCGCGTAATTGGTAATATTTGAAATTTAAGAAAAATTCGAAAACGACGTCAACGACGTCAACGATGACGATGATCGTGAAAGGACGTCGTGCTACGGGACACTGTGCATCGAGCCATGCGATGAGAGAGAAAACGTGTCACCTTCGCCATGTCCACGTGGTGGGGAAATAGTGGTGGGTATCTTGCTTGCCGGTAAGCTGTGTCTGTCCGTCTCTCCGTGTCTCTTCGCGTAGCACATAGCATAGCCATGTATGGAACACAAGACGACGTTCTCTCTCTCGGCCCTTACGCCCACTTGAGATCTCCGTAACTGCTCGCACACCTCCCTCTCCCCATACACTATCTTGCCAACCCACCTTCCTGCCTTAACTCCCCCCAACCCCCGTCCCACTACCCTTTTCTTGTCTGACCCTGCCTCTACTTGTTGCCCGATGCATGAACAGGTATCGTCTCACAGGTTGACAACGTTGATCGACCTGCAAATAATTCTGACATTCATATTTTCAACAGTTCCGCTTCAAAAAAATCTTTCATCGACGATTATCCAAACATCTAATAAATAAATAATATACTTAATATCTGTTCAAATCTATTATACTATTATTATATTATCGCAATCAACATATAGAAATATACATGTGTAATATTATCATTCAATAATATATGAATTATACAGACGTTTTTATATCTCTGTAATTTCAAATTTTTTTTTAACATATACGGCTTTTTCTGTCGAAACAAATGTTCTTCCCGCTAAAAGATTTAAATTACGCGAGAAAGCGTGGCATATTTAGATATATAAAATTTGCTAAATACTTTTGAATTAATTTGAAGGTCTTCGGAATACTCGTGAAATGCTTTTTGATATTGGAAATCGGTATGTTCCGTTACGAAATCACGTAAAACCGGGCCTCTACGCCTACGCCAGTAGAACTGACATGGCTATAGTAAAAGAAAGTTTGACTTCTTTAACGAATGTGTTTATTCGACGATGAGAACAAAAAATTATTTTAAAACTGTAATATTAAGATTTTCTTTATCCCTATAGTATAATTACATTTTATAGGCAATGAAAAATTATGATTAACAAATACTTTCATTGATGAACAGTTAAATATACATATATTCCATTTGTAATAATATTTATTTAATGCGCATAATTTGATATAAATTCAATTTTGAATTTACTTAAAAAACAAAAAATGTAACTTTCATTATTCACTTTTAACCTTCCTATGAGGTATTACTTACATGTTCGTGGAACACGTGGGAGTAAAACTAACGCAATATTATTGCAGTTATTCTTACCTTTCATGCTCCAACAGTTTCACTATCGCTTTGAAAGTACCTCGGATGTTTCATAGTCCTTTCGTTGAATAATATTTCGTTTTTCGAAAATCTTCATTATTTTTTTGTTTATAATAAATATATGGACGTGAGATTGTTGTTTGGATTCTATAAAATTGAATATAATTTTGAATTCCTTATCAGAGATTAATATTTATTGTCATGAAATTAATTATCAATAATATAAGGAAATGAAAGAAACGTTGGCAATTAAATAATATGAAACTTTTTGATTGCACATTCTCGATAATTCTAATCAAAGGTATCGATGTGACAATTATTTCTTAAGAATTAAACGAAAACTTGAATGATTCTATGGGAAGCCAGTTGTTCACACGCTACTACCCAAAGAACTGCAAGTGCATTAACAAAAACCTGCATAGTCCAAACCGGCTTCATCGAAGCTAGTCGATCAACCTGTTTGTATGTATATATCTGCTATAAATTTATGTATAGTTATTATTAAATCTATTTGAACGAATAGTAAAAATATTATTTAATTTTTTTACCTAATGGTTTACATATCTCACTTCTTTTTGCATATAAAATATTAAAAATTCCCAACGAATTAATAGAAGTTAATATAATTATAGTATTATTATAAAGAAATTCATTTAAAAAATATACAATTATTTCCATATACTGTTAAACATATAAATCTTTTACGTTTGTACATATGTTCGATCCATCTATAAATATTTTACACTTCAATCATTTAAATCTCTTATGAGGGATAATTTCCTTTCCTTTTTTTTCTTTCTGTAATTCAACTACGACACTTTTTTTTTGCAAAATTAACTTGTTCTATTATATCAATATAATCCTTAATATCAGACATGTATCTTCTTAAAAATTTATGATCTCTTTTCACATTTACAAGTAACTCTTGGATTTCTTTCTCTCTGTAATGATACAAAAAAATACCTAAATTAATGTGCATATTAATTTATCATAAATTATTAAAGTATTATATCTTTTTATAAACTCACATTACAGTACCCAAAATAGAAACGATCTTGATGTGTGATGAATTTATTTTATCAAATAATTTAATATCCATTGTAATTTTCAATATAATTTCCATGCATTTACTTCTTGATATAAATGTTATGCTAAAATAAAAATGAATAATAAATAATGTTGAGAAATTATTTATATAATTATTACATATCATTTATATAGATAAAATAATTACCTTTCTGTATTTATTTCCATTAAATTTGTATCTTCTAATTGTTTTAGATCAAATATAAAATCTAATATTAATTTCACATCTTCTGAAATATGATTTAACAAGGGAATAATATCTTCTTCGTATATATATGATTGACAAATATATTCTATGTTTATTTTCTCAATTATTAATTTATGTGCAATACTTAAGAACAAATTTTCATCATCTGCCAAAAATAAATAAACAATATATTTTAAAAAGTACGATTTAAAATTACTTCTACAGTAATTTCATTTCCTTACTTTCTACTCGTGAAATTACTTTAATATCTTTGATCATGCACGTGTCAGTATTGATATTATTCTGAGTATATATTATTATCAGTAGAGATGTAGAAATAAAACCAACCACTATCACTTGTTTATCTATATTCTCATAATATAAATCCCATATGCAATCGTCACTAAAATAAACAAAAGAGCATAAACATTATATTTTGACATTTTATCCTATTTAGGTATTAATCTATTAAAGTTAGAAATGTATTATTTCTATAAATAATTACCTAAGCATATGGTTCTTTAATTTGTTTACTAGTAAAGAAAATTTATCCTCTTGAAAACTGGAATTTTCTTTAGTGTTTTTTTCCAATGCAACTTCTTCTCTCAAAGAGTTATCATTATTTTGTGTTATATCCATGCTGCATGTTAAGTCTATTGAAAAAGAACTTACTAGTTAGCATTTGTTTCATTATGTTGCTAAAACTATTAATATTTATTATACCTTTTTTGTCAGCTATTGGGGTAATATTATTTTCTCCAATACACGTTTTATTTTGATTGTAAGCAGAAATTAATGTTGGTGAAAAAACACGTGATCTATAAAGAATCTGATTGTTGCTACTATGAGCATTAGCACATTCACTTATATCCATGGCTGAATTTTTCTTAGACTTTATTATACATGCCGCTGAAACGTTTTCAATATTTTTGTCTTTTTTATCTAATTGTTTATCTCTATGAGTAATTTCTAATTCTATAGAAGTATTAGTAAGTCTTTCATTGTTAAGTTTATTTTCAAAAACATTTTCATGATTTTCATGAATCTCATTAATTATAGTTGAAATTTTATCTGAACTGTATTGATTATTCTTTTCTTTGTTAATCATTACATTATCTACTTGGATATTATTATTTTCGAAATAACATTCAAGATTATTTTTAGATTGTTGCACTATCTGTTCACCGTTGGTGATACATATTTCGGGACATTGTATACGCATTGGTTGTACATTAACCATATCAATTACTGAATTCACATCCATAACATTTTCACTCGATTGTGTTTCTTGCTGGACTTTATGTATCGTTTTTACAAATGAATCATCTTCTATCATATCTGCGTATACGAAAGATGATATTAATGAAGTTAGAGTGTGATGATTATGTGCGGTGATATTTTCTTTTTGTTTTTGATCGTCATTATAATACATTGTAGAAGGACTTAATGTATAATTCATTCTTTGATGCACAGATTTCTTTATATTATCGTTGCTATTGTTAAAGTGAATATTAGTTTGTTTTTTAACTTCAGCCATTGAATGATCTCTTGTTATTCTATGCACAGAATCTAATAAGCAATCATTTTTTTCTAATTTTTCATTTGTGTTTGAAACTTGATTTTCTACGTTTCTATTTTCACTTTGTAATAAACTAGAATTTCCATTTTCATTTATAGTATGTTTAAATGTGCTATTATTTTGTATTGTAGCATTAACAATTGTATTGGAAGTAATAGTAGAAGAAGTTGGATTAAAATATACAGGTATATTAATATTCATAGAATTATTTTCAGATAGCTCATTTTCAATAATACCAGCTTCTTTCTCTGATGATAATCGAATTTGATTACACATTGTACTTTCAATTATCTCTGTAACTTGGAGTAATTCTTCTTTACCTATATTATGTACTACTCGAGATAAATTTTGCACAGGTACAGTCAATTCCAGTGAATCATTGTTTAACTCTGTCTTATCACTTATGACAGGAGTGACTCGGAGTAATTCTTCTTTACCTGTATTATTTACTACTCGAGATAAATTATTTACGGGTACAGTGAATTCTAGAGAATCATTGCTTAACTTTGTCCTATCATTTATGGCGGGAGTAATTCGGAGTAATTCTTCTTTCCTATCTATATTATGTACTACTCGAGATAAATTGTTTATGGGTACAGTAAATTCTAGAGAATCATTGTTTAACTCTGTCCTATCATTTATGGCAGGAATAACTTGGAGTAATTCTTCTTTACCTGTATTATGTACTACTCGAGATAAATTGGTTACGGGTATAGTGAATTCCATCAAATCATCAATTAACATTGTTTTTTCTTTTATGGCGGAGCTACTACAATTGAAAGCAGTCGCAATATTCGTACCATCATTAACTCTTGTTGAATGAGGTAATGAATAAACCCCTTCTGTAATTTCCATCGAAGCATCCATTAACTTAGTCTTATTAACAGAATTAAACATTTTCTTTAAAAATCTAGTATCATTTTCAATTTGAGATATATCTTTACTAATTGATTTCTCTTTTTTATTAATTACTGAAGTAATTACGCTTGTATCATCCATCAAAGCATCATGAAAAACGACTCCATGATTTGCAGAATTTGTTTTACAAACCGTTGGAATAGCACACGTCATTTCCATTGATACATTTTTAAATATTTGAGTTTGATTATTAGTCACATTCTCATTATTAGTAAAGGCACTTATTTTATTAAATTTTTGTTGCAAATGAAGTGGTTCTTTTATAGACTGTAAGCATTCTGTAAATTCTAAATTTTCCTTACAAAAATATTGTGTTTTATCTGACATCGCATTCATTTCATTTGTTGTAATTGATGGAACATTAGATTTCATGATAATATCAGATATTGGTATGTTTTCTTTATCTTCTTGTTCTAGTTTGCGCTTAGTAGACACGTTTGGAAGCTTAATAACAGAAGGTATTTCTGTAATCTCCATAGGTACATCTTCGATGCAAGTTTTGTTCAAATCTGGATCTTCCATGATATGAAGATTTGGTGTATCATAGTAAACATTTATACTTTTATGCGCACAAATATCTATGTTACGATTTGATTCAATTGAAATACTAATCTTTTCATCGTCATTTTCATTTTGACGTCCTAAAGATATTGATTTGTTTAATAATATTTCTCCTGTATGAATTGATTTAAAGGAACCCGGTGTAACAAAACACTCTGTTAATTCTAAGGAATCATTCGTTGGATTCCCATTTTCATTCTCTATCATACTATTACTTGTAGAATGATAAGTATTCTTAACAATTTCATGATTCTGATTATTTATACCAATTTGTCCTGTATTTATATTTGATAATTCTTCATACGTATTGTTCCATAAAGTTCCTTGTTCCGCAGATAAAAATTCTCTATACAAAGAATCAAACATTGATGTGTATTTATACATATTACATGAAAAATATAAATAAACAATTATATAAAAAATATTACATTTGTATAGAAATATAAATAATATAACTTACTTAACATGATTCTTTTCTGCAAAACTAACCCGTCGTTTAACTTTCGATGTGGCTGGACTTTCTGAACTTAAGGAAATATTAGGACCTGAATGTGGTCTAAGTGCTACTTTGAGAATCTGTAAATTTTTAGAGATTCTTAAATTGTTAATATAAAAACAACATAGATACGGAAATGTTTTTCAATAAAAATGCTTTTACTTACAGAGGATCCTCCGGATCCACTTTTTCTAGACTTTTTCCTAACATAGAAAAAGAGTATATTATATATATATATATATATATATATAAATATTCATATGTTAATATAAATATAAAAAAAATCAAATAAATTTATTATTAAATGACATGCTTTAAGGATACAAAACTTACACATCATTTCTAAACACAATGTAATTATTTTATTATTTCGTGAAAAAAATAATACTATAACAGTAAATACGTACGTAAAGCGAAAAATGTATTTCAATATATATACAGACAAATAATAAATATATACCTACATTTATTAGACTTGATTTAAAAACGATTTAAAATCAACAACACTTAGAAGCAACACCAAAACCGTTAATGCCGCGTTCTTTGATAAATATTATGTAGTATTTTCATGTTCAAAACTTAGTCATATTCTTGAAAAGTCTATAGCAGCATTTTGCTTTACCGGCCAATAGAAAAAAAAGATTATCTATATCATCCAATAAAAAATCAGCAATTAAATTAATATAATACGCTAAACGAGACTAAATTTTTATACGTTTGAAACTGTTATATCTTTTAAACTAGAAAAATAAAAAAAAAATTTTTTTTATACGAATGAGAAAAGAAATATTTGATAAATTGTAAACTTGACATTATATTAATAGAAATAAAAATTGACAAATAGTCACTTGAAAATGGGATTTTATTAAAATATAAATGATGTATGGCGTCTCAACCATCTCCCGCTAGTAATATCAGAGGGCAGCACAAACACCAGAGGAAAGAAGCGCTAGTAGCGCGTCACTGTTCCTCTTCTATCTTATTAGTCAGTCTAAGTTCTCTTTCGCATCGCATGGTTAAAGCCACCTCCGTGGTTAAAGCAATAGGGCGCCTCGAGCATTCCGTTCGTAACTTCTGTTGTTACCCGTTGTTTTGAGGCATAGACCTAATAAATATAATTGTTTTCTACTCGCTTGGTGTGTTGTTATTACTCATCGATCCTGAACACGTCCTAAAAATAAGACGTAATCTGTGACCAATGATACACCGCCAAATCGTGATTCCATTTATTCACATAAATACGTTATCTTAGAATAAATACATTATCGTAGCTGATATGCGTTTAATATTAAATTACATGTAAAGTTACATCTAAATAATTTAATCGAATTGTTCAACACACACAAAACTTTAAGGATCAATAACATTTGCCTATTTTTATCTAATTCTGAATGATTGAAAGAAAAATCTAGCCTCGGTAGCATTGCTCCTTAATAACATTGTTTTCATATCTCGAATTGTAATCAGGTGACTTGTCAAATATTGAAAATAAGGAAATCCAACATTGTATGATGATGGAAAGTGATACTGTGAAATTAATAATAAAAGCACCGAATCAACAAATTAAAGATCAACTTATAAAATGTGATATCGGGTGGAGTATTGGTCATTTAAAGGAATATCTCTCCGAAGTTTATCCCAGTAAACCAGTAAGAGTTTGAACTATTTTTATTTTTAACTTCCTACCGTAAAATCATATAAAAGTTATAAAATTCTTTTAAATCTTTATAAAACTCAATCGATCGGTCAAAGTCAGTCAGTCAATCAGTAAATTACTTTTATCGTTTAACGTTAATCATTTTCCCATCATATATTATATATCCCATGATATTCCATATATATATGTATAAAATTGATTTATATAAAATGGTAATAAATTGACGTCATTTCTCATAGGAAAGCGCAGACCAGAAATTAATATATGCTGGTCAATTATTGAACGATTCTTCTTGTTTGAAAGATATTTTAAGACAATGTGACGGTTTAGAGGACCAAGCATATATTATACATTTAGTATGTACTTCTCAAAAAATGTGTGCCAATAAAGTATCTGATCGAACACAAACTAGTGAAAGTGTAAATGTTGTTAATTCAGCCATAAGAAATAACGTTGACCATATTAGTCCAAGTCAGAATCAAAGCACAAATAACATTATAACTCAACCTCCACCAACACAATTGTATTCTATGCAACAATATTTTGATCCTCGAAATAGTCAACAAGTAGCTTGGATGCAACAAGCTTACACGCACTATTTCACACAGTATATGCAATTGTAAGTAATATTACATTTTATTTTTCGTTATGTTACATTACCTATATTTACAATTGGAATTATTTTTGTTAATAGAATGGCTGCGCAAGGAATCCAGTTGCCAACTACAATTCCTTATGTTCAACAAATGGATATTGATCCAAATGAAGTTACACAAAATACATATACGAATAACAATAACAATAATAATAATAATAATAATGTTGGAGATGAACAACAACCACAAGTGGCGGTGCAAGATGTAGCTGATATTAATGCAGGAAATAATGTAGCTGGCGAGGATGGTGCATTTAATCCAGATTGGCTAGACTTTTTTTATATGCTATCCAGAATCATTGTTCTCTTTAGTATTGTGTATTTTTATTCCTCTCCACTCAGATTTCTTATTGTTACATTCTTGGGTTTTGTTATATATCTGTAAGTTTTTTTACATATCATGTAGAATGAACTTTTTATTTTTTGATAATGAATATTTTTGTTTAGGTACCAAAGTGGATTTTTCAGAGTACAAGCCATTATATTGCCTGAAAATAATTTGCGTCCAGACAATAATAATCAAGTATTACAAAATGAAGGAGCAGCTCCGCAAATTGTTCCTGCCCAACAACATGGTCAAGTTCCAACGGTACAACCAGAAGCTAGAACAAATGCCAATGATGAAAATGAAGAAAGACCTGGTGCCCTTGCTTTCACATGGACATTTTTTAGTTCATTTTTTGCTTCCCTTATTCCAGATCAACCAAATGTTATTTAATTTTCTGTTATGTGTTATGCTTCATCATTTGTTCTACTTGTTGTTCCTTCATTTTTAAATTCTTCACGTGTCATTGCAAAACCTATGAGGTGGTCTCATAATCGGATGGGCTTAACAAGTATTTCAGTATGAATTGTTACTTAATATATTAAATTGTTAATTTAATTTATTTCTAATGTAAAAATTATCAATCAAACCCACGAACAATGTACATAATTTTATTAATATTTTAGTTAAAATACTTCTGACAAATAAATCATCCTACAAACAGATTGTTCATAGTAATGGGTTTAATATGAATAATCTAATGAGATTGCCTCAAGGTTGCTACACAAAGTTATAGTTATATTCAAGGAATATTCAACAAAAATTGGTTATAGCTGTCTTCTTTAAAAAATTTGTAGGCTTATCCCAAAGTTAATAGGAATTTATTGTAAAATACTTTTTTTTTATGTTTGTAGTAATATAAATATACAACGAGATAAAAATATATAGTGTATATAATTATATAAGTAATATAT